TGTGCGCCTTGTCGTGGACGTGTATGCGAGATTAAAAGCGAATTAATCGTGCAGATTTGAGAGCATCGAGATTTATATCTATTCCGCTTGATTTATCGGCCGTTGCAGCAATTTTAAATGCGACCCATTAAGTTGCCCATCGCGCCGCCTAAATAATTGCGTATTGCAACAAAAAAAAATCCGGAAATTGAAAATTGCTGATCTATGCGAGCAATTAATTTCACAAGGTCGAAAAAAGCTCATCAAGCGTCGAGCTTTTCGGTTAAGGCATAATATTATAAAATCATCATCGTCATCTTCGAGATTGAGAGTTGCGTAATCCACCTGTCACGCCATCGCCGTCGTTTATATATAGACGCCATGTCAATTTAGAAGAATTTTTTTTTTTTTTTGGTGAATTACAATTTTGGTCATGTATACAAGAAGTTTTCTGGCTAGTTGTAACTCAAGCAGCGTGCGAAATCCGAGAGAAAAAAAATATAAATATCCAACACTTCGTCGCGGCTGCGTGTACTTAACGTCGACAGGTTATTACTGGTATGCTTGGACGTCGTCGACGACGACGGCGCGTCAATGATCTAAACGTTTTATTTTTGGGACGTTTAATTATTTGTATTAATCATCGATCCGCGCGCACACACATCGTCGTGCATACGACATACACTAGCGAAACCATGAAAAAACTTTTGCAAAAAGAAGTTGCGGACTCCTTTTCAGCGAATAAAAAGTAAAAAAAAGTTGGTCGTTTCGTTCCTCTTTCAATTAGACTTAAAAGAGAGAGAGAGAGAGAGAGAGAGAGACGTTACCCAATTTCGATTCGTCGATTCGTCGACCACACGACGGCGTTGCGGAGGAAAGAGAGAAAAGTTTTCTCATACCGAGAAAGTAGTAAGTTCGTATACATAGGAGAGAAATTCCTGGGGTGGAACCGGAGTCTCTATCGCTCTGACTATACAAATGCATAATAAATACACAACTCATCGTGCTCGTCAACAGCGACGACGAAGGGGGAGTAAATCATCGTCGAGCTATATTACGATTATTGTTGGCTATTAGCATCGCATCGCGTAACTAAATGCCCTCATTAGTTCGCCTCGGCGCAGGCCACAACTCCGTGTGTGTAATACTTACGATCCCTTTGTGTGTGTCTATAGGTACGTATTAGTTATGTTTTCGCTTAACTCTCTGTCTCTCCCTAGAGTGGTGTATTATACATTATATATTTGAATACGAGCTCTCGACGATCGATTCGGTGCCGGAAGCCAAACGTCTCTCTGTCTCTCGGCTAGCTCAGTGCAGAGAGAGACAGAGCTTTGAGCCGGAAAAATATACTTTATTGTAATTGATTGTCAGTCGCTTGGTATTTTTATTGTCAATCGCCCGGTCGCTGATATTGCATTTTGAGTCATGGCACAAAAAAAGTAAAGAAGAAGAAGAAGGTACAGAAAAATATACGAGTTCTGCGCTCGAGGGGACTCGGACGACGACAATGTTGCGCATATGCATAAAGATGCGAGTATATAGAAAGGCTTGTATAATCAGCGAGGCGATACTAAATCACAAAAATATAGCCGCTGCTCTCGTTATAAGGGCTCTTCGACGGCTGCCGCGCATCCTCTGAATTATCATCTCTCGACTGGACTGTACAGTACGCGATTAATAGTTTTACACGACTCCCGCGATCGTAAATATACAATTCCTTCCACGTGCGAGCTAGTGCGTACAAGTCCTTAAAAAGACCGAGGCGATCGTAAATTCGAAGCTTTATTATAATATATATACAATGCGGCCCTTTCCCGATAAAAAAAAGTTACATGCAGCCATGCTTATACTGTGGCCCTGCTTATGTATCGACGCGATTCGGATTTCATCGCGCGTACCGCTGTACAAGCATCTAGCGAGAGCATTTATAGATACGCGCAATGCAAATTAACTCGTTACGCGGCGGCGGCGAAGCTGGTCATGCGGTGTATCAGCAAGCCGGTATTATTAAAGGCTAAATTTAGTCAAGTGTTGTGTGTGCGCGCGCCCAATAGTCAGTTGTACCACCGTGGTATATAACTGAAACTCGAGTCTCGAGTTCCGATTACATATGTATATAACATAAGCTTCAAGAAAAAGTCGCGTACAATAGCTGTAGGGGAGATAAAATCGATATATCGGCGGCAGCCAACGATTCTGCTTTATCGTTGGAGTACACAATATACCAGACGCCGGTATAAAGGAATATATAAGCGAAGAGAGCTCTCGGTCTCTCGCTCCGACGTTACCTATAAATATAATAGCAACGCAGTTTAGGGAGAGTCGATAGAGCGCGCCACGAGACGGCCGCGACGGACTGCGGAGCGGAGCGTATAATATATAGCGTATCGTATCGATTGTTCGCGCGCAAAATACAAACCGATTGCTCCTGCTGCTGCTGGAACGGACGGAAGCGCAAATCGTTCTGGACTCTTTGGGCTCATATATAGATCTTGTGCTTCGAAGCTTCGAAGGATCGTCAGTCGGTGAGCGACTCAACAGCAGCAGCAGCAGCAGCAGCTATAAGCCAATTCTGACTCTTTTTTTTCCGCTCGCCGCTTTAACGACTTACTACTACGGCTGATCGTAACTCCTATAAGACAATCTTCGACATTTTTTTTCCAGGTCAGTCGTGTAAGTGAGAGAGAGAGAAAAAAAACGTGTCGAATTTCACCGAGCCGACTCTCTTTGGATCGGGTGTGCTTTACGATCGAGCACAGAGCTACTAGCCTATAGTGCGAGCCGCGTTGTAAGACACGATTTTCGGACGCGCGCATAATATAACACACCGGTCAGTCGTATACAGTTTTTCTTGTGTGCACTTGTAGTACGCGGAGCGATACACACGTAAAGATCGACAATAGATTGATGCACAACGAGCGAGATCGAACAACTACACAAACGCGACTTTATCACATATGCACATGCTCTTGTGTATTTGTGTCTGTAATATTTGTTACAGCATATACGACACACACTCGCATATGTATAGGTACATCGCAGACAAAGAGGGTCGCAGTCGCGCTGCCGGAAATCTTGAAGGGGGTGGATATAGGCATGGGCCGTGTTGGTTGGTTGGTTCATGCTAGTAGTTCGTTCGTTGGAGAGAGAGAGTCAGCCAGAGTCTCTCGTTATTGTTAACGATGACCTCGTGGCATTGATGCAGTTTTACACAAACGAATGCCAGATCTATCGAGGCAATCGGCCAAACTGCACCGTTTCTCTCCTTTTGGATGGAGCTTGCAAGCTCGTCGTTTGTGTCTGTCTATGTGTGTGTTTTCCCCCTATATTATCCCCTCTCCACCTGCACTGCTACTGTGTGTACCACCATGATTCGTCCCTCCCCTCCCTCCCCTCGATGCAAGCGAGGAAAAGCTAATAAATGCAAAAGCTATTAGGTCCGCACTGCTAGAGAGATATTGGCCCCTCGGCTCTCTCTCTCTCTCATTCTCTCATGACGATCATGATCGTGATGCGCTCTCTCGATAGGCCGCTGTCCCTGCCGCACACACAAACTGTAATGCACTTTGTGCGCGCTGCGATCCGTCGAGAATCGACAGTATGGGCTTTACCTTTATACTTTACCTATACCGGTCGTTCACTGTGTGTGTCTATATCTTGGACACACTATCTTCTCTCTCTTTGCGCCGTCGTCCGCCGTGACCAAGCGGCGGGGGAGGGAGATTATAACTTGAATTATCTATCGTGCGGCTAATGCATCGCGGCGCGCAGAGGACTCTATACTACTGCTGCTGCTGCTATCGTGCACTCGGGACACGCTATATATCGCCGACGTGGTCGGTTGGCTACCTCTACCGTGGGTCTTATTGACCACACGACCGTCGCCGGCTTTTGTGTTCATGGCCTTTTATATTATGGACTTTGATGCGCTCGTCCAGGCAGCATATTACATTATTGCGTGTGTGGCGCAGTGCAATGCACAGCCGCCGACGAAGCGCAAAACCGCTGCCGCAGACGTGCATATATACGTACGACGGAAAAATATGATATGTACCTTATCAAGCGCGCGCACAAGCTGCTGCTGCGACTGGTGGAAGGGTAAAAGGCGTCTGGGTGGGTGGCTGCGTGTGTGCAGGCGCGGCGAAGTACACCCGAAAAATCGGCATGAGTCAGGCCGAAAGCGGCGCGAAGAGAATAAGATACGTGCCGGGGTGTCACATGCTTGTTCGCGTCGGCGGCCGTGTCGGCGGGGCGCATCGAGGAAGAAAAGTTGCATTCTTATAAGATTTATAAAATCGAGCGATGCGCTCTCTGCGCCGAGGCCATTTTTTTACTCTCCCTCCCCTTAAATGGAATATCTGCGTTCTAGGCTCTTTCTCTCTTACTCTCTTATCTGCGCGCAAACTTTCGCCTCCCAAGCCTGAGAGAGAGAGAGAGAGAGAGAGAAGCAGAGGCAGAAGAAGAAGCTGAAAAAAGGGAAAAAGGGAGGATTGTGTGCGGTACGAGGGAGGGCGCGTCTCGGGCTTTCGCTTACTCCGGCTTTTGAGAGGATCGACTACTACTGCTACTACTACTACTACCACCACTACTGGCATACTTTTTGTCTGAGCAGCAGCAGTGAGAGAGATCGAGAGAAGCCCTGAATCCGCAAGCTCGAGCGCGCGCGTGCTGGGGTTTTAAGCGCGCACTGCACTCGCATGTAGAGACGCGCGCGCTTCTTCCTTCATATATATGATGATGAAGAAAACACACAACGCAGCAATATAGCTCTCTGACAGGGTAGAGGCGTACCAAAAAAAAGATGATATACCTGGCCGCATAAGTCATCGTCTATCTCTATCTATGTGTGTATGTGTGTATACTTTGCGCGTTGTTGATGCGAGAGCTTGCAGCTCAGCGGATCGCGCACGTGTTTACCCACGGACTTATGTATACACAAAGAGAAATGTCGTATTTTTGCATACGCGCATAGATCTTGATCGTATTTGCATGTATCGTTCTTTTTTCCTGTTTGTAATCTAGCTTATTTCTCTATATGTCGCACTCACCTGGAAAACGAGGAAGAAGGGCACCCACTGGTAGTACTTGATGTGTCGGGTGACAGGATCGCTGCCGTGTCGGCCGTCCGAGCTCGCAGCCTGCTGCTGCGCGGCCAGCCGCTGCCGATACTGGTAGAGCATCGAAGGGCCGACCCCGGGAAACGCCACGTTGACCCCGGCGACGCCGAGCATCGCGCTCGTCACGAAGTACGTGCTGTGAATCCAGCAGTAGGCGTTGAACGCCTCGGCCGGTATGTCTCTGCACATTTTTTTTTTCATGGAGAAGAGAAGCAAGTTGAAAAAGAGAAAAAAAATCAGTCAGTTTGTAGGTATGTATGTTATGTGTGTATAGGTATAGGGCGGCCGGTGGCACGTGCGATATAGCGTTAGTGGTAGTAGTGGCAGGGTCTCGAGAGAGAGAGAAGCCGCGTCATGCTGCAGCTGCAGCAGCATCCATCGGAGAGGCAGGAGCTAGGCACAGCACACCAGGCAGCGAACGAGGCTGTTTACCTTTTGTAGCGTGCACAAGTTTCTTAAAACGCTGCTGCCATCCTCCTCGCTCGCTCCTTTCTCTCATTCGAGCTCTCTCGCAAGCTCTTGCAAGCTCGAGCTTGATTGTATCTATATGTCGCTCCTTTATTCTATCTGTGTTGCTGCTGCGCTGCGCGACTATATGCCTTGCCTCCACGAGCCAACCCTTGCCAAATTTACTATAAAAACATTTTTCTTCTCTCTCTCTCTCTCTTTCTTTTACTTTTTTTTTAAGTTTCTTCCTGCGCTGCTGCTGCCGCTGCCATTCGTTGCTGTTTATTTTCCAAATCAGATGAGAAAAGTTTCTTTTTCCAGCTCCCTCGAAGTATACAGTTATAAACGTGAACGAGAGATAATTATTGGTTACGGAATTTTCGACTTTTAAAAATCGCCGCATGTAATGGGCCGCGGGAAAAAGTAAGTAAGTAAGCTACAGCAGCAGCAGCAGTCACTGGATCAGAATGAGAAATGAATGAAGCAGCCACAAGGAAGAAAATTACCTGGTATGTACGCAATCGATGGGATTGCCGACGGCCTGTTTCATCGAGACCATCGCGGAAAACGTCAGCAGCAGAGCTGCCGTGAGCACGTGGAGCCTCGATACGAATCCGTCGTTTTGTACCTTGCTCACCTAAATTCGGGCAGAAAAAGAAAAACAGCACAGACGTATAGTAAAAAAAAGAATAGCTCAATCGTATTATGTGTATGTGTATGCACGGGCCAAAGGACGTATTTTTCTCAAGAAGGATGCATAGGAAAGGAAGAGAAAAAAATAATTTATTTCGTCGATCGCGATCGCGAGCTTGCAAGCACTCACGTGCTCGTAGGCTATCTGTGTCTATGTACGTATGTATTATATATACACCGAGGAGAGCCGAGCCAGCCGTACACACGTATAAGCGCGGGAACAAAATCGAAAGTCGTATAATAGCAGTCGACAGTCGGTGCCACCATTGCTCGCCTATATAATACATACGCGCGCAAGCTCGACACAACGTACAGTGTTCTCTCTCGGACCGGTTACTCCACGAACAACGATTTATATTTATACGCCAAGGAATAAAAATATTCAATGGGTACGAGTGCAGCAATAAAGGTACTACCCGACCCTCCTCCTCCTCGTATGTGTGTAATAGCCAGGGTATAATGTAAAATAGCATTACACGCGCGCCATAGCCATATCTCGACGAGAGAGCCTCGTGTATTTTGCTATGTTGCTACTACAACCACTACTACTTTTTTTTTTAACGATCCCATTGTGTCGTCGTGTCATCCTTTTCCATCCCCTCCCGTTGCGTACATTACGACCACGCGCGCGTTTTTCCCATCGACGATCGTCATCCGCGAGAGTAAACGCGCGTATACGTATACAAAGATGGATACGCAGCGATTCCGCAGCGCGGCGCGCAATATTATCGATAGTCCCGATCATCGTTTTCGCTACTACTGCAGTATAACCATTCGAGCTTGGCAACAACGACAATTGACGTATTATTCCTTTCCAATCCCTCCAGGGGGACCCTCTCGCTCTCTCTCATTTTTTTGTTGTTTTTTTTTTTTCGTTCCTGCCCGCTTTTTTTTCAAGTACACATACTCGGCATATATCGCAATGCTTACATATATACACGACAACATTTTTTACTCTCTCTCATCCATCGATGTATATTTGCGTAGTGGCATCGATTTCATCGGCTCTTTGAGAGAGAGAGAGACTTTCTCTCTTCGGTCGGTGTGTGCTTGCAGCAGCCGCGCGCGCGGCAGGCTAGAGAGAGAGGAAATTCGAACGAGGCCAGGACACAATTTCGAATCATACGGATTATGTATCCTATCGGAGGAGAGCATCGTCCAATGAAATTTATCAAATAAAAAATTCATCGTTCTGTGTACGTACGTAAGTATATATCTCTCTCTCGACAAACATACAGAGAGAAGAGAAGAGAGAGAGATGCGCTCGATCACGGCAAAGGCAAAAACAGCGACCGAATGCGCAATTTTGCGATATTGAATTATTATACGCTCGAATCGACGAAAATAAACACAGCACACGGACGAGGAAGAGATGGATGGATAGAAGCCTGAGACTCTAGCCGCAAAATTATAATGGAGCTTGCGAGAGCTTGCAGGCGCGCTACCGACCGATGCACGTGTGTGTTTTAGACGCGCGTGGCGTGGCGTACGGCGAGCGCGCGCACATGCCAAATTTATATACGCGCAAAATTAAGTACTAATTTTCTACTAAATTAACCCTGGCGATTGACCGATGGAGGAGAAAAGCGCGCGATTGGGACGGACGCTGGAGAAAAAGGGCAGCGTCTGCGTATTTATTGCTGCCAAGAAAGAGCCGCCTACACCGCGCGCGCCCCCCGAGTCGAACGCTATAATAGAGAGAGCGAGGGGGCAGGCAAGAGAACGAGCGATCGAGTCTCTCTCTCGGACTTGCAGCACACCGCGCGCGCAGTATATAGTGGAGATAAGTACGTTGAACTCGCTCTGTGTGTGTGTCTGTCTGTCTGTATGTGTGAGTAAGTGCAGGTCCACGAGAGAGCTGGTGTAGTACGCGAGTGCACGCGAGGATAATAATGAAAAAAAAAAGAAGAGAAGAGGGAAGAATAAGAGACAAATTTTCCGATCTACTTCACTAAAACGTTAAATCGTTTTTGCGAATTATTTTTGCCGTGTGCAGCTTCAGAGAGAGCAGCAGCAGCAGTAGCCGATTGCGAGCCAATCTTGATTGCGCGGTTGCTTCTCCGATGCTGCTGCTGCTTCTCTCCGCTACAGTGTAGCAGTTATTTGCATAGCATAAAGTCCGCGTTGTTACTTTTTTTTTTGTCAACCAAGTCGCATATTAACCCAAGTAGGTCCCTGTACCACCGGAAAAATAACACACGAACGGCGAAAGCTCTCTCTCTGCTCTGTGAACGCGCGGTATAACGAGTATATACAAATGCGACCAAGGCCGCACCGAATACGAATACGAAAAGAAAAAAAAATAATAATGATAAATAATAATAATGAGCGCTCGCAAAACGACCGAATCTATTATCCTCTCCAACTCCCGCGGTTTTCCGCTGCGCTCATGCGGCTGTGCAAAATTGAATACCCCGCGCGCGCGCGCGACGCGATTTCGCAGATGACGATCGCGGATGATGATAATTCGGGTTAAATGCGGCGCGAGCTTTTTAAGCGACCGCGATCGAAAGAGCCCCGAGCGATAATGAAAAAAAAAAAATGAAAATAAAAATAAAAAAGGCAACTCACGTTGAAAAGGCAGTATATGCCTCGAATGGCATCCATGATCCAGGCGTCGTGGTGCCTGCTACTGCCGCTGGCTTTCCTCTTGATCTTCAGCAGCTTGAGCCAGACATTTGTCTTGCTGCGTCCCCGGGCCCGGGCGGTGCGGCCCTTCCTGCCTCCGCTGGGCTTGTAACCACCAGCACTCGTGCCTTGTGCTTGCTGCTGCTGCTGTTCACGATTGTTGCCACTCGCGCTCTTGCGGCCGTCAGCCCATTGATGATGATGATGGAACAAGGCAGCCCGTAACTCTGCGCCGCTGCTGCTACTGCTGCTAGGGCCGAGTACGGACTTCATGCTTCAGCTTCGGGCCGATCATCTGCTGCTGCCGCTGATGCTCGACATCACGCACACACACGAACGCGACGACTAAGTAAAAAAAAGAAACGAGCGGAGGGATGGATGGCCTTCAAATGAGTAGTATACACGAGTACGCAACACCACCGCCGCCACCGCTGCCGCCACTACCAACAGCTGCTTTGCTGCTTCCTCCACTTCTTCGTCGTCAGCTTCTTTTCCTTCCACTACTACTTTTGCTGCTGCTGCTGCTGCTGCTGCTGCTGCCATTACCTGCGATACATCATGTTCCGCAAGCTGCAAGCTTCTGGCTTGCTCTTGGGCTTTCAGCGCCAGAGCCGCTGCTGCCGCTGCCGCTGCATATAGTAGCTGTAGTAGTCGCAGCGCAGGATAGCAGTGGTTGTACTATATATCCTCGAGAGTTGAAACTGGCTCAGATACATCTGCGTGGCAGCACAACATCACAGATAAAGCAGATAAGAATTGAAGAAGGTTTTTTTCCGTTGCAACTTTTAGCTCGCTCGCGCGCTTACTACGTGTACACCACTACATACTAATACTAGTCTACTACTACGTACGAGCGCGGCATAGCTCTCGACTGTGTGTTAAAAGAGAAAACTTGGCTCGGAGGCGCATTGCTCTTGTTACGGAGTGCGCAAGAGAGAGAAAGAGAGAAAGAGAGAGAGGATGGAAAAGCATTACATACGGGGGACGAATGATTTACGAAAATTGCTCAGGAATTTCATTTTCTTCTCTCCCTCTCTTTCTCTCTCTCTCTCTCTCTCTCTCTCTCTCTCTCTCTCTCTCTCTCTCTTTCCAACGGGAGAATCTGCTCGTGCGCAATTAACAAAAAAGCAAGCAAAAAGCAACAACAAAAAAAGCTTAGCCCCACGTACTCGTACGCGAAGAGATGGCCGAAAAAGCGCAGCGAAGAAATAAGCTCGAAAAAAAGCTCGCCGCGCCACTTGTGCAAATAATAATGAAGTTGTGACCACAACGAGCGCTAAAGGTGTGGATAATACGACGGTGGAGTACGCGCGGCGGAATACTCTTAACTTATAATGTGTATGTGTGTTGTTTTTTGTTTTTTTTTTCGTCTCTTTTTCTTGCGCACGAATGCGGTTTTTTCGGGTGCATATCCGAGATGCGCTGCTGCTAGCTCTGGAGTCCGAGCAAGAGAGAAAGCGAGCGAGCGAGCGAGAGACTTAGTTATTGTTTCCGTGCAAAATGAAAAGCAAAAAATTGAAAGTGTTAAAGAATGGGTTTGGCAAGCTCACCCGATGGGGCTCTCCGCATGCATGCCTGCAAGCTCTCTTGCTCTGTCTCGCTCTCAAGGCTACCACTACACATTCGCGCGTTAGCTCTGGCGCGTATAAGCTGCTTTTAATACACGACGTATACAGAGAAAATGCGCGCGCGATATTATAACGCGGCAACAACGTGGTGCGAAAGAAAGAGAGAGGAAGAATATTTTGGCCTTCTTAACGCACCATTGACGCTTTTGCGGCTTTTGCTTATATATCTGCAAATTTATGACAAACGCGTGCATATTACGCGCTCACTTTTTTCCCTAATAACAACAACAACAACAAAAAGCTCGCGCGCGCCACGCAGTTAAATAGCGATGTGGCAGCTGTGCAGCAGCTTTCGACGCTGAAATATATATAATATATACGTAATATATAAATCGTCACGTCGTACATAATTGCTCTTGCCCGGCTTAACTCTCTCTCTCCCTTAGCGCGCGCGACTTAATCGCAGAGGACAGCTAGCCGCCGCCGCCGCGCGGCGCAGGACGATTAGATTTGCTACGCCGCCATCACCACCACCACCGACTGGCCGTACACATAGAGAGAACTCTTCGCGCATTAAGTTTGGAAAGTGGGTCTAACCACGGAGCGGGCGACACATACATACATAGAGAGAGAGAGAGAAGTGGTGGCGGCGCGAGGCGCGTTATTATGCGCACAAAAACACTTAGGCGCGCGCGGCGTGGGTACACAGTGCGCACTACTACTACTACTGCTACTCTGCCGTGTGTGTGCAGCACAGTAGCAGAATTGCATTATCACACGGCTTCCTCGCCAGTTTTTCTCTTCCATCTCTCTCTGTGTCCCTTCCCCTCCGGTCTCTCTCTCTCTCTAACGAGCCTGATTGATGAAAATGAAAATTTCGCCCGCGTTATAAGCCAGCAGCAGCCGCCTCTAGCTGTGTGCTGTGCTGTGCTAGCCTTACATAGTGCATATAAGCGCAGTGCAGCGGCAGCAGTAGCAGTAGGAGCAGCCCCGGGGGATGTAGCGAAACACGTGCCAAACTTAATGAGTCCAAATTTACTACCACTCACACACGTTTATACTCGCACACACCTACACATAAACTTTGCCTCTCTCTCTCTCTCTTCCGTGTGAATAACGCGCACTGCGCCTCGGTGTCTTTTGATCGTGCTGCTGCTGCTGCTGTCTCGGCGTTGCACCGTCGTCGCGCAAGCTCCGCGCGTATAGTTGCATCGTGCGTCGGTGCGTGCAAAAGCTCTCTCGCTCTCGCCTTGTAAACAAGCCGCGCGAGTTAATTACTTCGTATGGGGGTCCATCTCTCTCTTGCGCGCGCAAGTTGGCCGAATATTATTATGAAAATAAACCGCGAGAATATCGCGCGCGCGGCTAATTTTAGTCCATCGTAGCCCATAGAGTTTATTTACACAAAAACGCGTATAACACGTTTGACGCCACCGCAACACGCAAAAAGTCGTGTGTGTTATATCGATCAAGTCTCGAGAGAGATGAGAATTGCAGGTGCCGTTGCGTTCTCGAATATGGATCTCGAAATCACACAAACGCTGCTGCTGGCTAGCCTAGCCTAGCGCACACCTTGCCCTTGTTTTTCCGGACGCTTTGCTGCCTTCTCGTCTTCTTCTTCTTCTTCTCATTTGCAGCAGGCCTATAAGTCGTGGTAAATAATGGCTCGTCTCGAGTTAATAAACGCTCTGTTTCCCAAGGCTGCGGCTGCGGTTGTGGCTACGGATCATGCAAGCATCATCGTTGAGATGCATGATATATGCATACAGAGACGAAAAAGCTCGTCTATACACACGGGCCGCCGGTAGTCGTTTCGGTGCTCCAAAAGCTATCATCTCCTCCGCATGTAATGACGCGGCTTCTCATTGTTGTGACGACGACGACGACAACGACGTTGACGACGACTAAGACCAAGAGGCGATGATTCATTTGTATGCACACGCGCACGCTCGTCGTTAAGTTTCTCTCTCTCTACTAGCCATTTGGCAGTCGAGCAGTGTTGCAGTCGAATAATGACGAATGACGTGTGCCTCGCGCCGATCTCGTGTAGTACAGTGGCTTGCAGCAGCAGCTTGCACACACGCTCCGGTATCTATCTATCCATCCATCTTATATACATACCTATATATACGGCACGCGAAACGTGCGAACGCGCGTAGACAGAGATATACTGCTACTTAGTCAGTCGTGTGTGCAAGTAAGCTCTCACTGTCTGCAAGCTCTGGCTCCCTATCCCTCTCTCTCGCTCTTCGCTGGCACGGACTACACGTGCTTTTTGCTGCCGATTAGCTTTTGGCAGCTAAGTGGCGGCGGCGGCGGATCGCAGAGCATAGCAGCAGCAACGACCGTTTATATAGGCACTCCAACGTGTGTCGACTTTTTAACGATAATACTTTTTGTTTCTCTCGCGCACTCTCCCTTCCTCTCGCTCGTCGATAAGTGCACGACTGCGTATCGTTCGAATGTATGCATTACATGTGTCTGCGTCTGTGTGTGTATGTAGCGGCGTCGGCAGGACGTGATTTGAAATAAATTCCAGCGAGTAAAGAGAGCTTTTTTGTACAGCAGTGCATATATTCCAAAAGCTTAGAGAGAAGAAGAAGAAGAGAATGGCATACGGAGCTTTTCTGTGACGGCATTATTAATGATCGTTCGCGCGTGTAATGTTATAAAGCTCGAAGCAGGCCAGCAAAAGCATCAGCGGCGGCGAATGATTTCGTCAGTCGTCCGACGATCAAAAAGCTCACAGCGGTGGAACAATTCCCGCGCAAAAACATGCGTGCATGCGTGCGAGCTTGCGGCAAATATACCATGCACCGAAAAATCGCTTACCCAACAACGACGACGACTACGGCAGACCACTGCTACCAGTTCATTGCGAAGACGATCATCGTCCCCCGTCGTGGCACTACTTGCCGATTGCGGCTGGACAACACTGTGTTGGGTGCGTGAGGCGAGCACGAGTAAACACGCCTGCTGCCGCACCGCCGCGCACGCACTGAATACAAAAAAAAAAACGAGGCGAGCTTGCAGCCCCCCGATCGGCACGCACGAACTTTCTTTTTGCACGAACCACTCGTATTTCGAGAAGTAATTCAATACATATACACACAATTATAATTTTTATTATTATTTTTTTTTCAATTTTTAAAATCGAGGGGTTGAAAAAAAGTATCTGTCGCGTATAGGAATACAAGACGACCACGACGACTGCTGAACACGGGTCCGCGCCTAGATAGACTGATGAATGCGGCTGACCTACTGCGCTGCCTGCTTGCTGCTGCTGCTGCTGCTACTAGGCACCCGAAAGCTCGCCTCGCTCTCTCTCTCTATCTCGCTCTCTCGAAAGCCCGCGCGCAGACCGCTGCAAGAGAAGAAGACGCGAAGCTTTTCGTCTGCTGCTGCCGCTGCTGCCACTGCTGCTGCTGCTGGCTGTAGAGGAAAGGCAGCAGCAGCAGCGGCAGTCCGCATGTGCCTATATAGTACACACCTATCTCACTCACTCTCCCTCCGCGTCTCTCTATCTCCCTTTTTCCATTTCTCTCTCTCCCTCTTTTCTATACGCGCTGCCAAAACAACATATCAGAGAGGAGGCCCGCACATATATATACGAATATATCTCTGGCTTGCATGTTTTTTCTATTAAAAAAAAAGAGAGAGAGGAAAAAACGACTGGATGAGCTGCTGCTTTTTTGCTTGGTGATGTATGAAAAAGCGCAATGTACGTTATATATATTTTAATTTAATGATGTTTCCCGGCGTTCCTGCGAGCTTTCTCTCTCTTATACCCGCGATATATAATAATAATAACGATATACGAAAGATGTGCCTGCTGCACGCGGTTTTTGCGGTACATGGCACAAGCCCCACTCGATCGATGGATCTCCGGTACGATTTTGAGGTAAATTAGCTTTTTTCGTCGGTCATATACGACGAGCTTCATAAAAGTCATACTCTCCCGACGATGACGGCTTTAGTGGGTGACGGCACCGATTTCAGCGGCAGCAGCAATTGCCTGCCACGATCGTTATAACCGCGACGGAAAAATGTCAAAGGGGGTGAAATTATTTTTAAACGTCGTGTACGCGCTTCGAGCTTGCGCGCGGCGGCGGCGCAACCTCATCTTTTTGTCAACGATTGTGACACGTACACACGTACATACGAAAAAAAGAAAAATTTTGACGTTCGAATTATTTGTTCAAGCTCTGTAATGTACAAGAAGGCGACGTTGACATAAATATATTTTGGAAATACTATTACGCGGATCTCGATCTATTTCGTTTCGAACTTTCAAGACCTACATGTTTATCTTGTATTAAGGCCGGTAATGTACATCTATAATTAGCCAGTATACGAATACACACGTAAACACGTATTGGCATGGAAAAAAGGGCATTTCATTTTCAATGAGAAACGAAGGATTGCGAAGAGAAGAGACAGACTTTTTTATGTGTTTAGCGAATTCCATTGCCGTTTTTTTTACCTCGCTTTTCCTGAAGGCGGAATAAGGGGACATGTCTCTCTCTCTCTCTCTCTCTCTCCTTTTTCCGAATGCTACGAAAGGATAATTGAGCGCTTAGCTTGCCAAGAGGTAGATAGACGTCGTCGCCCAGCAGCAGCAGCAGCTATATACAGCTACACAGATACACAGCTACAGCCTAGGCAAAATAAAAAAAAATACATATATAAGGTAGAGAGAGAGAGAGAGAAAGACGGGCGACGAGGGAAAATGTTGCGAATGAAAAAAACACGAGCGCGTGCCGCCAGCTGGCTTTTTGCTTGCTGGTGAAAATCCGCCTACGGGGTACTTTGAAAATTACGCCTTTTTTCTCCTTGCAGCAGCAGCAGCAGCAGCTCGGCAAAAGGTGGGGAGGGCGGCTGTGATGTGCACAGTGTGTCTCTTTTTCCTCGGCACTGTGTGTCTTTTCTCGAAACAATGGGTTTTCTTTTATTTTTTTTTCTCTCAATGGGATCGGTCCTCTTTGAGAGCGAAATCTGATTGTGTTGTCAAATCAGCCAAGTGAAATTTTTTAGCGCGAAGCAGGAGGCGTGGGCGTGCTGCGGAGCAACAAAGTAAGGTGAGCCAAGAGATTTTTTTTTTTTTTCGTGTTTTCATCGAAATCGTTTAATTATTTTTCATGAACTAAAAAGTACGTATAATAATGAGCTCTTACTGACTACGAAATGAAACGGAGTTTGTATAATAAATAATCTAAATACATGTATGCTCGTGAAATTATAAAGCTCTCCAACTCTTCTGCACAGTTCGTAACGAGATATCATGTATAATGCCGAAGTATTGCATGAAAACGTATGGATCTTCTTTCACTGAGCTTATTTTTGAGCATATCGCATATGATTTCTCGTGTTCGAAATAAAAAAACTTTTCAAACGAATAAATTAAATTATAAATACAGGAATGTTTCACAATTTATATAATGATGATGATTACAGGTATTATTATTGAATTTGAATGTCGCTAATTACATGATGAGGTTACTATTGCTAGCTTCTCGTAATTGCTATTAATTTTTTAACAGATGGATGAGTAAGTAATAATAAATATAATCATACGCAAGAAAAATAATACAAAAAATACTCAACAAATATATGCCAGAAGCATACGTTTTTTTTCGTAAGGCCAGAGTTTGATGTTACTGTTGATTACAGTACAATTTCAATAGCATTAGTTTTACATTTTATCATATAAATTATACATTTAAAAGGATAGATTTTAATCGCGCAAAATCGAGAGTCGTTCTCGTATCAGTCTTCGCGATCTTGGCTGCTCTTATTCTCTCTGAAATTGACGAAATTCTTTCAATATCGTATCGAAAATACTATCATAAAAATCACAAAGGAGTCAGCAGCAGTATCATGTTTCTTTTTTGTATCTATAATTACAAAGTTTATATAATAAATGATGAATATATAAAATGTATTATACAAAAACATACAGAAAATTGTGGACTCGCTTAAAACAGCAATGAAATACCACCAGTGGTACAATCAAATATATTTCTATACACATGTTATCTTTTTTTTTCTTCGAACGACTCACCGAGTCCTTTTCTAGACAATATCGCGCGTCGTTTTTCAACTGTCAATACAGATTGTCATTTTTTCTCCCTCTCTTTCTTTCTTTCTTTATTTCACATTGGCTAAACTCGAAAAAATATATATTTTTTAATATATATCGTATAAAAAATACATATTGCTCGATGATTAGGACGGTAGCGAAGGCACGCGCGAGCGCTGCCTTTCACGTGTTTCCTAATTCATTCTTTGCTCATGAGCGAAAAAGTTTCACTTTTTGAACTTGATATAAATTTTTTTTTAGAAAAAACCTTACGTATTTGTGGCAAAGCTCGAGTGTGCATTTAAATACTCAAAATACAATGGTAGTAAAAAACGTTTTGTAAATTTAAATCGTATATAAACATTAATGATCGATCGCTAACTTATAGTACTATGTTCGATTTGCTACTCGTTATAAAAAAATTTATTGAGCGTTTGACGCATCAAGATTTCTTGTTTAAGCTTTAAGCATAACTAACCTTATCTCTAGTTCTTTTTTATTTTATCATTTTTTTGTTCCTATAAAAAAGAAAAAACTAGTCACAACCTTTGCGTGATATTTCATGCAGATCTATACTTCCAGTTCGAGTAATTACAGAACACGAATTTTCATTCGAATTATTTTTAACTATAATAATAATATATCGAATATTATATAATCCTCTGAGGACAACACAGTATCTTAAAAATGCGTTTGGAATATTCTTGTATTTTTTTTTTTTTTTTTTGCCTACAAAAATTTGGCACACACGTTCATTCGATCATTGCTTTCTCTCAATTCCTTTCATTTTTTTTGTTTTTCTGTCGCAATCGATTCGTCGCAATTGGTATATTTAATAAACTTTATCATACACCGCACGGATTCGGCGTATTTACCGCTTGGGTTTCTCGGTCGCCCGCAGCCTGGCCGCAGCCAAGAGCCTATCCTAGGAATTCAGCGGCACCATGTGCTCGCTCATCTTCTTGGTGAGCTCGATCAGCAGTTCCCGATACACCAGCGAGTCGATGTTCGAGGACAGATTGTACAGCAACCACCAGTCGCCTGTAAGAAAAAAATTGACAATTAATATCAAGTTTCCTTTTATCAATAATAAATGATCAAAAAAATAAAAATTGACTTTACCCAAGCTAACTTTCTTCGTGATGCTCTGGCAGGTCTCGTACTCGATCTGCCTCGACGACCACTCGAGAATTTTCGGCCGGATGCTCGGCGCGAATATAATGGCCAGTCGATAGATCATCAGGCCGACGAGCATGACCGTCAGTATCAAGTACCAGAACCAGAGAAAAATGTAGGTCTTCTCGTTAACGATGTTGAGCGGCAGTACGCAGAGCGAGTCGTGTTTCTGTATGGTGCCCGAGGCGCCGTACTTGTGGAAGATGCACTTGGTGACCCGCGGAAATATGTAGACCATCGGATCGATTCGCTCCTCCTGCGGCACGTCCGATAGATTGAGCACTCTGAGGCCGTAGGTGAGGAACTCGCCGTCGAAGAAGCGATTCATGAAGTACATCTGCAGGACGATGTTGATCAGGCAGAGAGCCTCGCAGGCGAAGTAACGCATTACGTACGACGTGTGAGTCTGTGCGATGAAAAGAGAAAAAGGAAAAAAACATTAAATTACAATGAAACGAAGACACGGTTGAATGGCTGTTATTGTCGTCGTCGTCGTCGTCGTGTCACAGGCGCTGATTAGACCGAATTGACACAACCGGCCAACGACACTCTTTCCAATCGGATGACGCTCGTGTATGTGTGCGCGCGCATTCATTGTCAATTCTATCTTTACGAGAGCCAAAAACCTTAACTAAATTTGCAACAAAACGACGACTAAAAAAAAAATTGTGCACGGAAATAGTGTGACAGCAGTAGTAAGCACGCGAGGTTTGTATTTTTTACGCCTCGGTGATCTCACGGAACCGACGACGACTCATACATATATAGGCAGTAGTATTGTGTCGTGTGTGCGAGCGAGTGCATCGGCGAGTATTACACACTGCGATGCACAATTCAAGTTCATTGGACGACTCATCTCGTCTCATCCTCGACGCGCTACAATGAATCGTCGTCCCAAAATCTAGTACATCGATCGGCAGCAAAATTGTGTGAATTATACGCCTATTTATCTCGGAAACAGGTGTATTAAGATTTCGATTACGCAAACGCGACGACATTTCCGACAATTTCTCATTGTTGCGTGTGTGTTTCTTTTTTACGTCGACTTCCTTCCCAGAGTGTGTACATGCGCGCGCGAATGCAACAAATGTTTTTGTTCTCCGCGTGTGTCTACGATCTACACACAGCTCACGAGTATAGCGAGCTGCAAATTTTTACTCGATACTCGCTAATTGAGCGAGGACGTGGGAAAAGACACTTTGTGTACACGCGGTCAACGCGTTACGCGCGAATTCTGCACGATCATGGCGTGTATGCGGATTTATTCATCTTTACTTTTAGCAAAAAAAAAGTCTAATGTATTCAAAAATCTATACGCGCGAACGCCAGAAAGGTGTACGTACGTACGGAGTACATGAGTGTAAGATAAGCAATTGACCTCTCTCTCGCTCGATGCACTGCACTGGCCTGAGCAGCAGTAATACTCGTGTGTTACGTAACGGTATACATACACTCGGAGTTTTGTGTTCAGCCGCGACACGAGTCGATATATATTTTTTCGAAGCCTATTCCTTATTTTTTTCTTTCTCTCTGGTTTTTTCCAGTGGCAGCTAGCGCACGCAACAAGGGTGCAAAAAGAGAGACAAGTGTGTAAGAGAGAAGAGAGAAGAGAAAGAAAGAAAGCCCGAGGTTAATCATACACACATGCACATATTTTTTTTTCTTTTTTACTATACTTGGCGCGCGAGTGCGTAATGCTTTTAAAACTTGGCCGTGTAAGGCTTTCCTCTATAACTGCAACTAGAGAGAGAGAGAAAGAGTCGGCTTTCGACTATATTTGTAAACTTGTATGCTCACTCTTTAGAACGCATGCATGTACCAGTACGCGGAGAGAATCGAAAATCAATTGGCAATAGCATCGCATGAACAATGATAATAATGCTATATAATTCACTTACTCTGATGTGAGTGATGAGATAATCCATGACCACGGCCTTCTTCTTGTTGAGCGAGTCCTCGTGCTCGAGGGTACGGCTCAGTCCGAGAACCAGACGCTGGATCAGGCCGCCCTCCCAGATGCTCCAGAGCCAGTGCGGCAGGTAGCAGCACATCGCCTGTTAAAAAAAATTACATTATACATTTATTTATTTATTTATTCATTTTTTTCGTTTAAAAAACGTGTGTGTGTGTGTGTGGGTGGGTGATCGTACGTCGATCGCACAGCACAGCGCGTCGTGTCACGTTCAATGACACTCGATCTATTATATGTGTGTCTGCCTGCGTGCGAGATACCGAGTGTAATTAGAGAATTGACCGAGAGAGGAGTATAAGAGAGAGAGAAGGAAGCACTCGCAAAAGCGGATGATACGATAAAAGCTCGTCTGTGTGTGTGATGTGTGTGTTTGTGTGTGCATTACGTTACATCACATTGCCATTGGCCGATCGGACCATATACACACGGACACACACATACAAACAGACACGTCTGATATCCTCGATCGAGAGAAGAGCCTTCGTGTTTTATCGCGAAGTTCGTGTGTGTTCCTCAGGGGGGAACCAAGGCGTTTCTTCTTTCTCTTTTTCGTTTTTTTTAACCCTTGCCTCGTGGTCTAATACACACATATCCCGAAAAATTACACATTGAAAAGCCCCATTTCAGCGCGATTCAGCATTATTAAAATACGCCGACGTCAGCACACCATGTATGTATGTGTGTAAGTGCGCCTTTGCTAGAATTTCGCCGAGTCGCGTCACTTTTTTTCCATTTTTTTTTTTTTTTTTTAAGCTTTTTTTAGCTTTTATACGTGTATTATGGCGTTGAGAGAGAGAGAGAGAAAAAAAAGAGTAGCGCGAGAGAGAAGAAAGAACTACGCGAAGGTAAATTTGACACTTTGACACGCGTACGCGCGATACGCTCTGTCTCTCTATCTTTCTCTTGGAAAAAAAAGAAAAGGAGTAAGGAGTTGCGCACGTGCCCGGTGGCGCTGATGCGCTCCGCGCGCACGACCGATAATCAGCGGAACGAAAAAGAAAAAGAAAAAGATTTAAGCCGCCCCGAAAAGAGAGAGAGACGAGAAAGTAAGGAAAAAAAGAAAGAAAAAGAAGGAAGGGTTGGTATAAAATAAAATAAAAAAACTTACTTGGAAAAAGAGCACGAAGCAGACCCATTGGTAGTAAGTGTAGTACTTCCTGGCCTCGACTTCGCCGAAGTCGTTGGCTATACCCGGGTGGGCCACCTCCACTCCGACCTGTAAATTGAAAAATCGATAAATAAAGAATCATCATATAAGATATAGAACAATTGATGTTCGATTGATTGCGTAAAAATTCCTGCGCCCTCGGCCACAGCTGTTTTATATATATACGCGCGCGTGCTGTGCTTGCAAGATATCTGTTTCTTTCTTTTTTTTGCACTTTTTTTTTATAATTGTCATGAATGCGAATCCCGTTATGCACGCGTGGCATGGGGGCCGGCCCAACGATTCAAAATTGATTTTTTTCGTTGCGTATACCGTAACGAGATCGGCGGCTTCTCTCGAAGTTACTGCTACGATAATAATATAATAATGATATAAAATACCCGCGGAAGGTATACGTATCGCGCGTGGCACAGACACACGAATCGAGGCCAGTGGCCGGGGCCCTTTCACTCCTGTGTACAAGCCAATGTCTCGCGTACATAGTGTCGTTGTACCCTCTCGCCCCGACGACCGGCAGCAGCAGCAGCAGCAGCAGCAGCAGCAGCAGCTTACGGTCAAAATGACTCGCGCAAAATGAAAAAAAAAAAATTGAAAAATTCAGTCGTCGCGTGGGCGAGATTCGGTGTCGCGTACGTATATAATATACCGTCGTGTGTGCATAACTAAGCTCATTCTCGTGTACATCAGCGCTTTTTTTCTTCATTTTTTCATTTTTCTCTCAGCCACACTATTATAGCATATAGCACACGGAGAGACATAAAATATATTTTACGGGTGCCTCGGAGAGAGAAATATATACGACGATGTTTCACTCTCTCGTACACACACACACACACGCTCGGTGTCCGGCAGCAGCAACTAATGACACTTTAAGACTTTTTTCTTCTTCATCTTTTTTCTCTCTGGATTTTCAAGAGCAGCTAAGACGACAACGAATGACGTATAGTAATTAGCCTCTATATCCGTATAATAATATCCAGCTAGCCGCAGCGCCGAAGAGCTTTACTATAATTACCATCGGACGCGGCGCGAAATTATCGAGGCTTTATGTAAACTCTTCTCTTGTACACATACAGATCGGCGGCGGCGAGGGCGAGCTCTGCATTATTTATGATGATGCGTGTTATAAGAGCAGCAGCAGCAGCAAAAAAAAACACACAGACAGACAGCGAAGAATGCCTTGATCATTAAAAAAAAAAAAAGAGCACACAGAGAGGCAATATTATATAGCAAGGCATTGTCGCCTGTGCGTCGACGAGAAGGCCTCTCGACTCGGCGCTACACGTCTAATGTAACGATATTATAGGAAAATCGAGCTCTCTCGAGCGATCGTAAAAATTTCCAAGTTTTAAGCCGTATATACCCATTTAAAAAGTCACGTTTCGTAGGCACAAAATATCGCGTCGCGCGCAATGTGGCGTAAAAAAACCGCAACGACAACGGAACAATTATAATCTTACCTGACGATTGAAGGCGTCCGGCATGGTGAAAGTCGAGGTGATCCAGCAGTAGGTGTTGATCGGCTGGCTGGGCAGGGCCGACGGCACGATGCACGAGATCGGATTGCCGACGAACTGGGTGGCGGTGATGACGACCGAGCAGCACATCAGCAGCACCGAGGTGAAGTGATTGTGCAGCCTGAAGACCATCGAGTCCGTGCTGACGTCGGCCGTCTTCAGGTATTCCTTCAGTCCTCCGAATAGCTTCAGCATCTTGGCGGCTGATTTGCGTTTATATTATTCTTTCTTCAGAGTCTCGCTAAGCTCGAGACTGTATATTAAAGATCTCGTGGCACAGTACGGCACACAACGCGCAGCAGACTTTCTGTTCTTCTGCTTCTACTTCTTCTTCTTCTTGTTCTCGTACCGAGACGCATGTAAAGTCGGCAATGAATCTCGCGAACTTACGATGAGTCTCATTCGTCAAAATGAATGCAACATACACTAACACTGTACAATAAATTATTATAGAAAAAAAACAAAACGAAGAATCCGCGTATAGTTGCAATCTCTATACACTACGTGTGTGCAAGCGAATGTGCAGCCGAGAGAAAAGGTAGCAGCAGCTCCTCTGCTCCTCTCCGCGGGACCAGAGAGGGTCCTTTCTCTTTTTGATATTCCACCAAGAGCGAGTAATTGTTGCTGCCCTTTCGAGAAGGCTCTGGCTTGTATACACACTACCACTCCTGCTGCTGCTGCTGCTGAAACAGACCAAGATGCATATACCGTTATTTTCAATTGAATTTAAATGTATAAGAAAAATCTACTGCATTCGCGCAATAATTCAACAATATAAAAAACGAGTAGAGAGAGAAATAAATCGATTCAACGAACGATTGGTTAATAATCGATGCACTCGATGCCGATGACCCCGCGCAAAGGAAACAAAACGAAATAAATATAATACCTGTGCCAGCAACGTGAGAAACAAGCCGAATCAGCGACTTACTACATCCACGTGACAACGTAACGTATATATAGGCAGAGAGCAAGACGAACCGTCGTCCAGCTGCGTGGGTCATTGAGATAAATACGCCCACACACACACATATATACTGCTGCAGCAGAGACATTAAATATAGAGAGATACGCCGAGTCACGGAGTTTCGTGGCAGCGATCTCACCGAGATATCGATATAATAGCGCATTTAGTATGCCATTATAGATATAGATAAGTGTATCGATGATATTAAGAAGATTTCGTCCAAAACTCTTACTACTCTCTCTTGCCTTATGACATTCGAAAAACTTGTTGCATCAGCGTGCAGTGTAGCAAGGGAAGCGCAAGTTTTTGAGCGAAACAAAAAAAAGCACTGGGTGCCCCCTTTAGCACAGCTGCATACATACAGTAGGATATATATGTATAGGATCAAGAAGTTACAGTCGTCGTCGGATATCCGCCACCGCATCCGAGCCGCACGAGCAGAAGTAGTAGTAGTAGTAGAAAGCCGGGGCGCTCGCTCGCGCGCCTGGGCAATAGGGTAAGTAGTTTGAGAAATAAAATATAATTGGAAATTGCGAGCGAGCGCGAGATCCTTTCGTGGAACTCCGAGGGCAAGGATGAAAACAAAATAAAAAAAAACAAAGACGAGGCCCTATCCTGTACACGGTGCCGCGTGTTGCTGCCTACTACTACTACTACCTGTGTGTAGGTATTATATCCTTCCTATATATAGAAAATACACGTATAAATCTGTGTGTGCGCGCCTTCTCTCTTCCCTTTGCACTGCTGTGCTGCTGCTGCTGCAATTGCTCTCTTCTGCCTGGCGTGCGCACTGCGCACAGTGCCTCATTATCCTTCCTTTTTTTTTCTTATTCTCCAAACTCGATTCTCTCTCTCTCTCTCTTTCTTGTACGTACAGATAGAGCGAGGAAGAAGTGCAGCCGATGCTGCACCGAGAGATGCAACGAGTAATATGCATCGTAAAATCGACCGTTTTTTCGGTGTAAAAAGCCGAAGATGGCTGTGTATAAGATTTTCAAGATAAGCCCGATGATGCCGTAATAAAAAAATAATAATACAAAAAAAAAGTTGCGCTCGATTTTTCGTGCTCTCTCTCGAACGTCGACACGACTTGAAACTTGAAGGTAAGAGCGAGCAAGGGGGTCCCGCCCCCCGCGCGCGCGCGCACGCGATAAAGTGCTCTTATCCTGCAGGACAATCTAACCTCACTCGGCACGCGGGGGGAAAATGCTCGTCTCTCTCGAGCGGGCGTCGAGGCCTCAAAAAGTCGTCGTCGTTGTGTCAAGAGGGAGATTGTACACCGATGAGCAGTCGCGAGGGATCCGAATTATAACAATCGCGAATTGACATTTCGCCCGTTGTGTGTATGTGCCGCTCTGTCTCTGTATTGAACACCGGCTCACGGATACACGGGATACAGCAGCTGCGCACACGCACATACACGCGCGCATAATATACCGCCATGCAGTGTCGAAAGTTCACGTCACACATAATATAATATATATCGAAGGTACAGTTACAAACGTGTATATGTATAGAGAAGATGTAACCGAAAGGACGACCGCTAAAGACGCCGCAGCAGCACGTGACACGACGGACCGACTGTTTTCAAAACCTATAGATATACAGAAAAACAAAGAGAGAGAGAGGAAGATAGGATCGCGTGTCCGAAGCGCGCACACGCATGCTTTATTGGTTGTCAAATCAGCGACAAAATGTTTCGACGCTCGATCATCATAGATGTGAGTGTAAATCAGTTGGGAGTCGTATTATAGTTATAGAGGCGGTGGCAGGGACAGTGGGCTGCACATAGTTGCACATATAATAGTAGTGACGACGACCGACAACGACAACAACAACACTAGTTCATAACGTGTAAACTTACATATGAAGGTGTGCAACGGGCAGAGAGAGGTCGAGAATCGCTGTCAAGCCCCTACGAACTATCGACACTTTTGTATCAATTTGCAATATTTAACTTCTTGCGTTATATTATTATTAATTGTTGTCGTAGCACTGTCACACACTCATATGTAACTCTCGCACTCGCGCACTGTATATTCGATCGAATTGTGCACTGCAGCGAACGCATGTAACTTATAACGCGAAGGCGGTTGTGTTGTAGCGGCGGCGGCGGCGTCAGAAGCAACGGCGCAGCTCTGAGCTCTCTTTCATGGCCCGGCTAGGCCGCACAGCTCGGCGATACTGCCCGAGCCGCAGCACGACCGTGGTAGCAGCGACGTATAGTAGTAGAGAGAGAGAGACGTACATACACGGCTGCTCAGCCATATAGGGGTACTACTATACACACTGTTACACACGTACACACGTACACGCAGCAGCAGTCTTTGGTGCGTTCGCGCTGCTGCTGACTGCGTCTCTCTCTCTTACATACGCTCGAACGCAGGCATCGAAGTCTGTGTGAGTGTGTGTGCGCGTCAGTCGTCGTCCTGCGGTGTGTGCGTGTGCGAGAAGGCAGAAGCAGGCGAGAGAGAGAGAGAGAAAAGTGCAGAACACGACGGCGGCACACGAGCGTCAGGCTGCTGCTGCTCATCGAGAGCCTGGCTTGCGCTGCACGGCGAAACACTTGCGGCGCTTGTGCTGTACATACACAGCTATATGTATATAGCGTGGTCTGGCTGGGGGGGTTTATGGTGGGGCAGCAGCAGCCATCCGTCCATTAGTCCATTACCCGATGCACATACACGTACACACTGCATGCACGGAGCTTTGTATACGTGTGTGCGTTTGTGCAGCACGATAGCAGCCAGCTAGAAACTCTGCAGCAGCGCACGTTTTTGAATCTCTATATGCACATGCGATGTCTATAGTGCTGCCTGCAAAGGGCATCTCTACGTGGGGGCTGCAGCACGAGGAAAAACACACACACACGTACGCACGTGGTATGCTACTTTAATAGGGCCTTCTTGTGCTGTCCGGAGCCTAGTGCAAATGCAATTTCCAATCTACTAAAAGAAAATTTTGAAACGACCACCCTACTGGAGCTTGGACTGATCTTTGCCCGATGATGATGAAACACCCCCGCGAAATCCCGTCAGCTTTGGCTTTAGCCCGTCGTTGGCTTTGGTCCAATTTATTATAGGTACAGGACGGGCGGATTAAAAGCCACCGCGATACCGGCAAAAGTCGAGCTTTTTATCGTACTTACATCATCCTTAAAGCCGTATTCTTTGCTAATAAAGCTCGAAAAATCGTATAGCGCTTATCTGGAGTTATCGAGTTTATCCGAGCTCTGATCCTTGATTCGTCGAACTATATATGTATAAAAATAAAAAAGCCGGCCGGCATGAATATCTCTCGAGCTCGATCGACTGCGGCAGCATCAGATCGGTGAGTAATGTAAGTAAATAATCTCGCAACGTCGCGCAAACGTATTCTATACTGTATAAAACGTCCGTATAGAAGCCGCAGCGCAGAGAGAATGAGAGGACTCGGCATCGGCGGGTAAAGTCAGTAGTTGTATACGTAGCTAATATTGCATCAACTTTTCTTTAAAGGCTTCTTTAAGAGAACTGCGAAACACATACTCACATGCACACATAAAATAAGCTTCAGCCATTCATGCGTAAAAATGCAGCAGTATATCCGTCGATTGCGCGCACTTTTTTTCTCTGTCGCTCTCTCGATTCCGTATAATGGCACACGACTCTCTTTCTCGCTTATCGCGCGCGCGCGACCACCGCGCAACGATAATGATATTGCTGAATGCTGTGGTGGCGACCTCGCGCGATCATCCTGCACCTACTTTCTCGCGTGCGATGACAAAAAAGAGGATGGAAAAATAAAGAAAAAAACAAAGAAAAGTCATACGTAATGCGGCGTAAAATTAGTAATTAGACGCGCTCTCGCGTAAGTACAGGTCTGCGCGCGTAAAATCGCAAAGACCCAAATAGAACGTTTTGCATCGGCGGGCGCAATCCTGCGACATCGGCACGCGAATTCGTCCCTATTTTCATATAGCTCAGCTTCTCGAGCCTCGTGGGCTTTACCCGATGGTTCTCGTGCATATAGGATTGCTGCTCGCCGCTGCTGCCGCTGCTTTTATATTGCGCGCTATTGCATATTATTATCAAGCGCATTGAAATCTCCGCTCTCTCGAGTCTCGTCGCGGGTGCAGTGTACGCGGACTCAGCAGCAGCATATATCCTCTCTCAAACTGCACCCAAACACATACAACACGCGAGAGCAAAGAGCAATAACATTCGTACGATACATTCAACGTGGAATATGCATGTGGCACTGCTGCTGTTGTATATTAAGCTTTCGATTCGCGACTCTTTTCTTTCCTTGCTATATGCCTCTCAGTTGCGAGTCGCATGCTGTACGGCACGTATTCGTTGTATATTATAATTTACACACTCGGACACATTTTCAAAAGCCTGAGCGTTTCTGACTTTCGACTGCGCGTGTGCACATGTATATTATAAAAAAAGCCTGCCTGCCCATATTATGGGTATTTACGCCGCTGTGGCTGCTGCTACGTCGCGCCAATCGCATACGGATTCGAAAGTTTTTTTCCTCGGCGCATAGCTCTAATACCAGCGCGTCGCATCCGCCACCGCATTCCTGTTATTCTCTCTGTTTCTTATAAAATTCATTATAATATTTATTATCGTGAAAAAATATATCATATGCGACTGCGCAGCGCGTGGACGATGCAAATTAATGATATAAAAATTATAGTGCAGTTGTCTCGGCGCTGAGACTTGTCCTGCCTTACGCGATTTATTAAAGCATCGATGCGGGAGAGAAGGCATATAATGGTATACATAAGTAGTTAGTTTCAATTTTCGACGATATGCCCCCGCTCGCGCACCTTCTCTTCATTCATAGTTCGAAAACAACAACAACAACAACAACAACAACACAAAAGAAAAATAAAAGAAACGATGACTGCGAGCCGAGAGCTGAGAGAGATCGCCGTATGTATAAATCATCTCGAATAATATACTCGAGAATTGAGTCCGATCGTCTCGTTGTCGAATAGACGCGACGCTTCGAGAAGCTTATAATGTCAAAGCTTTAATTCGTAAACAATACGTATGTTCCTTTATAAATATGTGTTACAATTACGATGTGAATTATGTTTACGAAAGGTGTCACGAAATTCACGTGGGAATGTGTTATAATTAACGATTGATAAAATAAAATAGACCCAAGCAGAGGCGCTACGTAGCTATATTGTTTCTTTTTGAACCATATGATGAAACAATATAGGCGCCCTTGAATCGCTCGACTCGCACTATACTCTCTCGCTTCTTTCTTTTCTCTTCTCGATCATCCTCATATATACAGTATATAATAATATAAGGTCGGCTCGGAACCGTTACTCGTTTCTTTCTCTCCCTCCCTCAAGGTCTCTCTCTCTCGAGCCCTCGAGGACGCCCATATAAGCCAGGCTGTATCTGCATATCATACACGAGTGTATGGATGTCGGCGCGGGTGGCGCGCACTTGTACCGGTTCCCCAGGTGTGGGTAGCTTACTTCTCGTCGCGCACACGTGCATCCGGTCGTAGCAACAGCAGCAGCAGCTCGAGAGCTTCCACAGACCCCTCGTTCGTGTACATATTCCTATGTCAAAGCCAAGTGTCCTTTTCCTAAGCGCTTGTGCCTATACAGATATATTTTTTTGTCTAATATATGTAGCGAAAGCTGCGCCTCGTGTATAAGCGAAGCGTAGAAGCATACAATAGTATCGCGTGTCGTCGTCGCGCGTATCATAAAAGGGTTGCTGTTGCCTCTGTATAATATACATATTGACCATGAATAACCCCGCGCACTTCTCGCCCGCGCGTGTGCAAGTGCGTGCTTGTCTATATAATATATAGCACGCGCAGAGCCAAGAATGCCATACGCGCGCGGGCGAGAAGTTTGATAGAAATTTTTACTCGCACGAGATCCGATGTACGGGCCTTCGAGTCGACTATAAGCTATATATATTATACATGCCACCTCCTGCAGCACTGCTCCGAATTGCTGTTATTACGGGATTGATCGACGCTGCTACACATACATGTAGGCCTTGTATACATATGCGCGTCTCCCGCACGAGAGAGAACTAATCGACCTCTGGCCGCACGTATATATCTATACTACACAGCCGCTCCTCTCTCTCTCTCTGCAGCTGTGATGATGATCCTTTACTTCTTTAATTGCCCGATAGATATATATACGTGAGTTATGGATCGATAAAGCGACCATCGTCCGTGTTCCCGAAACTTTTTTTCTACTTTTTCTTCTTCCAAGCGCATATGTGTGTGTACCGTACGCAGGCCGATCTAAGCCAGCATTCCTTAGAAATTTCATCAGAAAAGTTAAACCATCCGCTAATTGTGCCGGCAGGGAAGAAAAAAAGAGAGAGATAAACAAGAGTTTCCTGTTTATCAAAATATTATCTATATATATTCTTTGTATACATTTGTAAAGTCATATCGATCACCGGGCGTTGAAACGAATGCACGTGCGTATAATATAAATCAAACATCGAGATAAATTCTTGAAGAAAAATAAGTCGCAGATCTCGTTGCACGTGGTTGTAATTGTTGTCCATGTTTTAGCGTCATTTTCTGGAGGTTCATCATTAGTATTCGGATAAGCCATTTTTATCATTCAAAAAAGTCCTTGAAAAACTCATATTAAATTTTCCTAGAGTTATTTCTTTTTGAGATTAAAAATGAAAATAATTGATAATGCGTTATTTTTAATACATTTAAATTTTTCGTGAAGGTACGACTCTAGGTAAATAAAGCAAATAAGGTAAATAAGTCAAAGTTCAAAGTTTGGAAGTCATGAGTGTTGGTGTGAAACATTATAAAATTTTGCTATAATTATTATGAGAACTTCAAAAAGTCTGGAAATGTACATCGCTTATCATTTAATATCACGTGTACTATGATTTATTTTTGTACAATCGCACGAAGTAAAAGATGCCTTGGTCTTTTTTTGTTGATTTATTTTCAATATATTTTTCAAGCGACGATATTTTAATGCAGGATCGCAACTAATGGATTATAAAAAGACGATTAAAAAATGTAAAAACCTCGATCTAAAATAAAAATATAATTTATTTGAAATAGTCTATGTCAATTTAAATTATGACTTGTCGTCTATACGTAAGATCGATTTTGCATAGTAAAATGTTGAACTATTCGGATATTTTTATTTTACTCGTTTAACACAACTTACGTACAACAATTACATAAAAATGTGTACCGAATTTAAGATTCACAATTCATAACTGCTTCATATACAGATACTAAGTCTATAACGTCCAAAAATTTGATGATTTTATCACAACATAAATCGGGTAAAATACCATGAAACAATAGTTTGATAGAGTCAGTTGTCGATTGTCTTATGAATCTCCTTACTAAAGCTTTAGTAATGTATCCACGAATAATACCTCCGATTTTTCCAGTACCATCAAAATTTTTCCTGAACGCTGCTGAGCTTATTGCTGATTCATAATCACACTTTGTCAATAAACGATACGTTTTATCAGGACTAGAAGTGCAAAGATCCAGATATGAAATATTATTACTAATGATCATCTTTTTAGCTAAGTCAACTTCTTTTCGAATGAATTGGCATTCTCTGTCTCTAAATTCTCTATCGTGTTCGTCAATTTCTGGATTTTCGGAAACAAGTGAATTTAACTTGTTCCGTAAATAGTTGTGCGTTTTAATATCCATGTACATATTTCCATATTCTATTAAGTATAGATATAGATTAATCTCTGTATATAATGTTTTTTTTATCTCGGCACTATCGAAATTGGTACAAGTTAAACTATCATAGCGAATAAGCATTTCAATGGATTTTCTAACCAAAGACCCAGAACCTAAATGAAAATAATTAACATTAAAACAATATGTTGATTTTTATTCATATCAGAACAACATTTTTGAAAGCAACCGGAGGTCGCCTGTTTAAGTTTTGTATTTATAAGAAATCTATTAAAGACTCATCAATGGATGTTGCAACCAAAGCGATGAATGATTTTTGTTTTCTCACCTAATTCATAAATCTGCCGGATCCAGTTAGAAAGGAGATCAAGTATCCCAGAGTGTATTTCAAAATCTTGATGAAACGTCAAAAATTTAAATGCCGTTAAATACTGATGGTTATTGATTTGGAAACCTTTGCTCTGCCATAGTTTGATAATTGCCAGGAAGTTCAGTAGGCTTAAGTATCCCATCCATTCCCATTCCAAAAATCCACCTTCGAATTTGACAGTATTAACGTCAGCTCCATGTTTCACTAGAATTTTTGCTACGTCGTAATTGCAGTATGACACCGCCTCGTTGAGAGCAGTACATCCATCTCCATCTTTGACATTCACATCTAATCCATGTTTTAACAGTATTTCAACATATTGTGGCACATATTTTGAGACCGCTTTCCAATCGGCTGCTTCTTCGGAGTCTAAAGTTAATGAGCGTATTTCATCCATCAGTGAATGCAACACGGTTTTGCCATCACCACCGACGTGGGAAGGGTCTGCATTGTGTTCAACATTGAGTTTCAGTAATTCCAAATGTTTCTTTAAATATTGTTCACTGAGTAGATGGTCACTTAAAAATCTATGGAAATTTTCGAAAGTATAATTCAAGGGTATGTTGCCGATGACATCAGTTATATTTGGATCAGCTCCATTTTTTAATAGAAATGCCACATGTTTGGTTTGTGTACAGCGAACCGCTTGATGTAGTGCAGTTTCACCGTTATTATCTTTCATATTTATGTCCACCCCATTTTTTAACAGAAATTCAAGTCCCTTTACTAGCTGCTCTGACAAATACCCCCAATGATCGCAACGAAGAATTCGGTGCAACAACATTGATTTGCTGAATACGTCGAAATTGCTGAAATCGGCTCCGCTTTCCACTAGTAATTTAAAAATTTTCATGCGTAGACTCAATTCATCACCAATACAAAAATCTCCTTCAAAAAGGTACATTATTGGACTACTATTTTGATGGTTTTTTACATAAGGATCGGCTTTGTATTGGATGAGAAGTTTAATCATTTTCAAATGGACCTCTTTCAACTTAGTACATGTCACGTCACGATCTGCCGAGTTTGGTTTTGTACAAATATAGCTCAGAGCTGTTAAGCCATTTTTATCAAGCGCGTTTGGGTCGGCGCCATTTTTCAAAAGCAGATCAATTATTTTCACATGTTCACAGTGGTCAGCCGCTAGATGAAGTGCAGAATAACCTTTTTCATTTTGTTTATTTACGTCAACTCCACTTTTTAACAACAATTCAACTGCTTCAAAAATAATTGGATTTTTCTCTGCATTGTTTTTGAAGATGAGGTGCAATACTGTATTACCCTCATTATTAATAAGAGTGACATCGGCTCCATTTTCCAGTAATAACTTGCAAACTTTCAAGCGTAATTTGTAATCTTCTGCATAACTAAATAAGTTCATTATAGGAGTGCAACCGTCTTTATTTTGGATATTAACGTCGGTCTTATACTGGATAAGAAGTTGAATCATTATTAAGTGGAACCTCGTCAACTTATGTTGATGACATATGAAATGCAGAGCTGTCCAGCCACAGTTGATATCAACGATATTTGGATCGACGCCATGTTTCAAAAGCAGCTCGATCACTCTTATGTCTCTACAGAATCTAACTGCTAGTTGAAGTGCAGAATAACCGTCATTATTTCGGCTATTTACATCAACTCCACGTTCTAAGAATAGTTTGACTGCTTCTAAAATAATTGGATTTTCCTCTGCATTGTTTTTGAAGAGAAGGTGCAGAACTGTATCCCCCTCATTATTGACAAGAGTGACGTCGGCTCCGTTTTCCAGTAATAACTTGCAAACTTCCAAGCGTAATTTGTAATTTTCTGCATTACGAAATAAGTTCATTATAGGAGTGCAACCGTCTTTATCTCGAATATTGACGTTGGCTTTATACTGGATAATAAGTTGAATCAGTTTCAAGTGGAACCTCGTCAACTGATGTGGAGAACATATGGAATGTAGAGCTGTCCAGCCCTTGTTGATATCAACCCTATTTGGATCGACGCCATTTTTCAAAAGCAGCTCGATCGCTTTTATATTCTTACAATGCGTAACCGCTACATAAAATGCAGTTTCGCCGTCATTATTTTCAATATTTACGTCAATTCCAATGTTTAACAACAACTCAATAACTTCTACAACGATCGTATTTTCCTCTGTATTGTGAAAAAAAATATTGTGTAATATTGTATGACCCCCGTGATCGACAAGTGTGACATCGGCTCCGTTTTTCAGTAATATCTTGAAAATTTCAAAGCGTAATTTGTAATTTTTTGTATCTCGAAACAAATTTATAATAGAACTGCGACCGTTTTTATCTTGGATATTAACTTCGGCTTCATACTGGATAAGAAGTTGAATGATTTCCAAGTGAACCTCCGTCAATTCAGTTCGACAACATATGGTATGCAGAGGTGTACCGCCATTGTTATGAACGATATTTGGATCGTCACCATTTTTCAAAAGCAGCTCGATTCTCCTCATATCTCTGCAGTAATTAACTACTATATGAAGCGCTGTATAACCATATTCATTTTGAATATTTACGCCTACTCCACTTTTTAACAAGAGTTCAACTATTGCTATAAAATTTTGATTCTTTACACTATAAAAATAGATATTATGTAGTACTGTATCCCCCTCATTATTGACAAGAGTGACGTCGGCTCCATTTTCCAGTAGTAACTTGAAAACTTTCAAGCGTGAATTATAATCTTCTGTTCTACGAAATGAGCCCATAATAGGTGTGTAACCATCTTGATCTTTGATATTAACGTCGGCTTTATATTTTAAAAGAATTTGAATCATTTTCAATTGGACTCTTGTAAACTTGGGTAGATTACATATAAAATGAAGAACCGTCTCGTCAAATTCATTAACAACTATCGTGTTTGGATCAGCGCCGTTTTTCAAAAGCAGTTCAAGTGCCACTGCAGTGTCTGGATTTGTTGGATCGCAAAGAATAATTTTTTTGAATATAGTTCTACCCATGTGGTTGGCACGTGTGACGTCAGCTCCGTTTTTCAAAAGTATTTTCAATGCCTCAATGCGTACTCGCATATCATTAGATTCTTTACCAAACAGATTCATCATCGGACTGTTACCGTCTTCATCTCCTGTATTTACGTCGGCTCCATACTGGATAAGAAGTTGAATCATTTTCAAGTCGATCTTCATCAACTTGGTACGCAAACATATGGAATTCAGAGCTGTTCTGCCTAATTCGTCAACCGCATCGGGATTACCCCCTTTCAATAACGATTCCAGTAGAGTTAAATTCCCTGATAAAGCGGCATCCTGTAGGGGTTTCCACGCTAAAGTTACAGAATGCGGCATTGTATTTTCACTTCGGCCTTTGAACAGTTACACTTTAACGAATTAATAGCTCCGAGTCGCTTTCAATACGACTGTTACTTAGTCGTCAAATTGAATAAACTGCCGTCTGTCATCCCCTCTACTGACTTTGTGTATAATTTGTTGATTTCAAGAGTTTCCTTACATTTACATCATCGGTACTGACATTACTGAAATATAGATGGTGATCGTATCGCCTGTATTCAAATATCAAACTATGAATAACTGGATGTGAGATGAAACGTTAAAAATAAAAAAAAGCAGTAAAGAAGGGAGAGCTTAAAAAGCTCAAATAAAAACACGATAATGTTTGCATATTTACAGATGCCAAGCTACTCGCCATCTTGCGGCGAAGGCTTAAATTATGGTATGTAAAGCAGTTGAAAACTGGTCTAAATCTTTTGAAATAAAAAAAAATGATCCAATTTCCATCACAACCATGCTGTGACTTATACAGTCATTTTGACTTTCCCATTTGCAGATTTATGGAGGCGAAACTACTCGCCATTTAGCAGCGAAGGTTTAAATTATCGTACGCGCGCGAGAGGTGAGTGATTGAATAACAGCCAGTTAATTTAGGTTGAATACTGTTACTGTTAATATTTTTAGTTAGAAGTGAATCTCAATGAATTGACCAAGGTGTACTTCTTTTATATTTACTTTCATATAGTTGTTTTATTGTGTATTTCACAAAGTTCATGCAGAGCACGTGCGAGGCATGGTTCTCTGATTTATACATGCAATTTTGATATTTTTAGGCGCCCATATAACCACTAGCCTGATGTAGTAATAAAATTGCATGATGGCTTTTTAATTATGTCATTGTTGAAGTACATGTTCACTGTGGAAAAATTCAGAGCATAAGTCTAATATAAGTTAAGGCCATTCCTATTGGACGTCGAATTTTATAAATTCAAAAAAAATTTTTTCACATTTTTTTACCAGAACCATCGGGTTTTTTTTTATAAAAATTTAATTTTTTACTTATTTTTACTAAAATCGCTCTACACTGGAAAAAGTCATATTTCTATTTGTTTTTAATGTATATCTGAAAAAATAATTGAATAAAGGGGTTTTAACAATAAGACAAATCGTTGCGAGCACTTTTATTTTCCATTTTAATAATATTGCAAAAATTAATTTTTTCGCTTTAATCTTCGGTATATAACTCTCAGAGGAACTGAGAATGATGAAAGCACGTAATTTGATGTAAAATTATATGTTCTTTAAGACTCTGGCTCCAAAATTAAGATTGATGCATTGTTTTGAAAGTTAAAAAGCAATTGTATGCCAAAAAACGTGTTTTTTGCGTACTTCGTGAAAAGCTTATTTGTTTCTTCAAGAAAATGGCTTAGTATGCTAATCACTCATAGGAAAAAATTCAATAATTAATCTACTAGGCTTTCATCTCGCTTTCTCAATGCCGTTTTCAGATTCTAAAAATTTCGCTGAGATACAGTTATTTTTGTAGAATCAGTTTTTATAGTTTTAAATTCCATAATTCTGCTTTGCTCAAGTTATCAAAAAATCATATTTTCCCTCAATCTTCATTACATTCCGAGGACACAATTGAATATACTAGACAGAAATTGAAACAAACTTTTCTGAGGTAATATTTGCATAAATGATGCAAATATAATAAAAGTATTATAATTATTCGGATAATATGTCTAAATATTTGTAGATTTTAAAGATCAATTAATTACGAATATAAACTACTCGACTACTGTAACAATTCAATGATTGAGTCTAGAAGTCATTACCATTGGTTTCAAAGATTAAAAAATTTTGGCTGATAATTATGAAAACGTCGAAAAGTCTAAAAATGTAGATTACTCATTATACAATATAATGCATACTATACTTTACACCGCTAATTTAACAATGTAGTGTATACACTACTTCATTTTATCAATGATCATAATAATCGCACGAAACAAAAGCTGCTTTGTTCTTTTTTCTGATGGATTAATCTCAATATATTTTTCAAAGTGACTATATTTGGATGCAGGATTGAAGTTTATGGATTGTGAAAAAGTAATTAAAATAAGTAAAAAACATATGTTGAATGGAAATGTATGATATTTTTTTAATAATTTATGTCAATTTTCATTGTGACTTGTCGTCTACGCTTATGAACGATTTCACATAAGAGACTGCTGAACTTTTCGATATTTTCATTTTACTCGTTTACAAAAATTAACTTACGTATAACCATTACATTAATGTCGGATTTTAAATTTTATAACTACTTTACATACAGATACTAAGTCCTAGTGCCTAAAAACTTAATGACTTCATTTTTTAACGAAACTACAAATTTTACAAATCCACGAGTGGAAGTCCAACCATCCCATTTGGATCGTCACATTTGCTTTGAAAGTAGTTCGATTATTTTTGGGTGTTTCAAGTCTTTCACAGCAACATTGAATGCAGATTGACCATTTTTATTTTCGATATTTGCGTCAGCTCCTCGTTTTAACAGCAATTCAACTGCTTCTACAATGCATGGATTTTTTGATGCATTGCTGTAAAAGATGATATGTAATATTGTATTACCCCTTTGGTCGACAAGTGTGAGATCTGCTCCGTGTTCCAGTAATAGCTTGAAAACTTCCAAGCGCAATTCGTAATCTTTTGCCGCTAGAAATAAACTCATTATGGGACTGAAATTGCATTTATCTTGGATATTAACGTCGGCTTTATATTTTAGAAGAATTTGAATCATTTTCAAGTGGGCTCTTGTAAGCTTGGATTCATTGCATATTAAATTAAGAGCTGTGTTGCCTAATTCGTCAACTTTCATGTTTGGATCGGCGCCGTTTTCCAAAAGCAGTTCAAGTGCCTCAGCAGTATCTAGATTTGCTGGATTACAATGAATAATTTTTTTGAATATAGTTAAACCCTCATGATTGACATGCGTGACATCGGCTCCGTTTTTCAAAAGTATTTTCAATGCCTCGTTGCGTACTCCCATATCATTCGATTCTTTACAAAACAGATTCATCATCGGACTATTACCCTCTTCATCTGGGGTATTAACGTCGGCTTCATATTGTAGAAAAATTTGAACCATTTTCAAGTGGACCCTTGTAAACTTGGACTGATTGCATATTAAATTAAGAGCTGTGTTGCCTGATTCATCAACCTTCATGTTTGGATCAGCGCCGTTTTCCAAAAGCAGTTTAAGTGCCTCAGCAGTGTCTTGATTTGTTGGATCACAAAGAATAATTTTTTTGAATATAGTTAAACCCTGATTGTTGACGCACTTGACATCGGCTCCGTTTTCCAAAAGTATTTTCAATGCCTGTATGCGTATTCCCGTATCTTTAGATTCATTATATTCGCTATTAAACAGAACCATCAACGGGCTGTCATCGTCTTTATCTGCTTTATTTACGTCGGCTCCATACTTGACAAGAAGTTGAAGCACCTCCAAGTCGATATCCTTCAACTTGCGAAGCGAACACATGAAATTCAAAGCTGTTCTGCCTAATTCGTCAACCGGATCGGGATTACCCCCTTTCAATAACGATTCCAGTAGAGTTAAATTCCCTGATAAAGCGGCATCCTGTAGGGGTTTCCACGCTAAAGTTACAGAATGCGGCATTGTATTTTCACTTCGGCCTTTGAACAGTTATACTTTAACGAATTACTAGCTCCGAGCCGCTTTCAGTACGACGGAAAACTGTTACTTAGTCGTCAAATTGTATAAACTGCCGACTCTTCTGTCATCCCCTCTTCTAATTTTGTGTATCTTATGTCGATTTCAAGATTTCCTTTCTATTTACATGATCACTACTGCCGTTTCTGAAATATAAATCGTGAACGTATCGTCTCTAATTCAAACATTGAACTAAAATACATGTACCTATAAATACATGTATTTTTTTTTATTTCGAATGAAACCGAGTACACGAACTCGATAAATTAAATTCATCCTTTCTATACCCTAAAATTGTATTTCATTTAATTAATCGCAACTTAATAATCCTTTCAACTGAATTATTTCTCAGTTTAGGATGCGTGACAATTTGTTGAAATATTTACATCGATAAATTTATTGATCCTCCAAATAAAAAACCAGAAAAGGATCGAGAGCTTAAAAAGCTCGAATAAGAACACTATAACGTCATGAAAAGCTCACCTCGGAGAGTCAACGCGTTATACACACATTATATGCGCGTGGACTTGATCTCGGTATTGTATGTAATACGAGTAGAGCAAACTGCAACCAAGGGACACGGACGCGACCGCTCTTGATTCTTTAATTCAACAATTGCGAGCGTGCCTTAACGAAGAGCGATTAGAGAGCGAGTGAGAGAGAGAGAGAGAGAGAAAGATTGCCAATGGCGACGAGTGCAATCGTCGCTGTACATGCTATTGTGTGTATAGGAGGTCGGGCTGTTGCGTTAGACGAGCGACTGCACACAGACAAACGCGAGTACAGATGATCGAAAATATAGTAAAGGCCGCGCTCAGTCGCGTCTGCTCGACTTACGTTATAGCTTTTTAAATAAGCCATAAAGCAGCAGCAGCAGACGAGATGAGGCGAAATAGTTGCAGCTATGTTATATCTTATACACACAAACGCGGCACTAACGTTCGCTTTCACAAGCTCAATTATATTCATCCTCGCATTGCTCAGAATGATCCGATCGTTATCCGCGCGCTTTTACGGGCTCTCGACGTGCAGCGGCGCAGCGAGTTTCAATATATATACGTACACGCCATGTGTCTGCGCCGCGGCGTTTCGAGCTTAGACTCGAGGATCGTTTGTATAGTAAGCATCATCTCCGACTCTGTCTCTGATCTGTATACTTCCTTAGGCGAAAAAAAGGAGGAAAAAAAAAATACTCTCTCGAAAAATAAATCATCGCGCAGAATTTAATCCATTTGCGACATTGAGTCGGAAAAACATGTCGCCTGCGTGAAAGATTTGGGTACCAAGTGCTACATCATAACGATTATATAGCCAAGTCCGACGGTACTTGCTACTGTCGATGCAGAAAAAAAACTCAGAAAGAGTTTAATTAAATACGAAGTGAGCATTTTCGAGGTTTCTCGTTTTTTTTTCTCGATTCGCTAGTGGAATGTAAAATCCATTCGAATAGACCATTGATTTTTCCAAAAAAAAAATTCAGAAAACATTTTAGAAGATGGCGAATAATGTATCGCTCAAAGTGAATACATTATATGCGAGCATCTTGGCTTTCCTACTTGCGGTAGCAAAACGTAGAGCTGGCGCCACGTAGCGGGGTTCAACAGAAACATTAACAATTTTTCAATATAAATTTTGATACTATTTATTATTGCAAATTTTGCACGGCAACTGTTAAAAAATCAATATTTATTAATACCAATTGTTAAGAACTTATGAAACTTTAATGATGCAATAATTTAAAAAACTATTGTGTGGATTTTTTCAAGCAGCCTCGAATTCTGAGCTTTATTCGACAAATGATTGAAATATTTTATCATCTTTTCCTAAAACTTCACAGACTCGAGAAGGTAAAAATATTTCAAATTCTCCGTTAGTGGATAGATGTTGTTTTGCTCCAAGTCCGACCATGATTTTCTGGGCAGAAACACTAACCGACAGACGTTGTTTATACTCGAATGATTCATTTGAAAAAAAAGGAAAGAAAATATTTAACGAAAAATGTATAAATTAATCTTTGTAATTATCGAAAGTCATCAAACTTACATTATTTATTTTTTTTTGTCTCCATTGAACTCTTAGCTTCTCTTTTCCTATGTTATAGAAGCCAAGTGTTGATATCTCGTAAGTTGTCTACAGCAAAAACGGCGTCTCCCTTTGAAGGCTTTTTGAAGCTTACATGGATTCTATTTCTAAAGTTTTTGTGTACTTTTTATGTATATTGACGGAAAAGTATATAAATAATGTTGTTGTTTATACAATATAGAGTTAAATTTTAAATCTTACCCATTGCCTAATAAAAAATTTTTGCAACGAATTTTGCTTTTATTGTCCCTTGGACAATAATGTTTGTAGCATCGAATAATAGCAAGATCGGCGTTTTTTCTAATTTTTAGTATAGCATATCACCTGCATTCGAAGAGGCCCCGTGCCAATCTTGGTTGCGTATCATTGCCGCAGAAACTTGATCGTATTACTGCTCGGAAAGGGATCGGGTCCGAATTTAGCCGATACAAGGGTTCAGACGCCTCTGCAGATTATTTGCCGGAAAAACAGCAGCGACGTAAATTTGGTGGAGACATTGTTCCGACTCGACGCCGAATCGAATCGCCCGTTGCGGATCTACGTGCCGGACGAGTACGACGAGACACCGCTGCACTGGGCCGTGGGACTGGGGCCCGACTACAAAGCGCACACCTCGTTGGAGAGGCGGGTTCAAACGAAAGCGGTCGAATTTCTGCTGAGAAACGGCGCGATCCAAATTGGCCCCATAGAAGCAGATCTTGTCCTCTGCATAAAATCTGCAGGAGAATGTATGACGACGACTTGATGGAGAAATTCTTCAAAGTCCGCGACGAGAAGCATCGATCGGTGCACGTCGACGCTCAGGAATATCGTTGGGGTAAAACGGCGTTCCAAGTGGCTCTGTTTTACGGCCACAAGAGGATGGTCAAATTGCTGCTAAAAAGGGGCACGATCCGAACTTGGCCGACGATAAAGGATCCACCGCTCTGCACAAGATTTGCTACGAATAAGATGACATAGGATTGGCAGCGATAATTTTTCAGATCAACAACGAGAGCAGCAGGCCGGCACCGATCGACGCTCGAGATACGTTGGGCAACACGCCGTTGCACGTGGCTGCGTATTCCGGCAACAGAAACTCGACGGAACTGCTGCTGAGGAAAGGAGTCGACCCAAATTCGGTCAATGAAGATGGAATGACGCCTCTGCATAATATTGGCAGGAGAGACAACGACGATGATTTGGCGGAACGATTTTTCTCGGTCAACAACGAAATCGGTCAACGGGTGCTGGTTGATACTCGAGATAATTTGGGCAACACGCCGCTGCATTTAGCTCTGTTTCGGGGCCACAAGAGGATGGCCGGATCGCTGCTGAAAAAAGTGACACAGGATTGGCAAAGATACTTTTCAAGGTCAACGACGAAAGACGCAGATTAGTGAAGGTCAACGCCGAGGGTCTTGCCGCTCGTGGTCGTTCGCCTTTTGGATTACGGTGCCGATCCGTCCGGCATGATCTTCCCCCCTACGAGTTATTTCGACAAGGAACACCCAGAAGTGTGGCGTAGATTCAACAAGTTGGAAATAGCGTCTGGAGTTCTGCTCGTCGCCGAACGTCTCGTGGCTACGAACTGGACAGAAGCGACGCGGAATTGATCATGAAATTTTTTTACAACTGTAGAGTACTCTTTGGGCAGGAGCATTTTGAAGAAGTTTGGCATCAGGACGAGATATTCACGAACGATGCAAAAAAAATAACGGTGAAGCCTAGTCTGTCGCTCTACGATCTGCTCAGATTACGGCCCGCGAAGGCTGCGAAACTACTCATGTACGCGGTCTACTTCGAATTGGCTCGTTCGAAAACATTGAAGATAAAAAGAATCGAATCTTGCGTCGAGTTTTTGAGCGAAAAAGTATTGAGAGGATTTATCGAGTCCTGAGCAATGGATCCTTTTATGGAGCTGACGCACTGTACACTGCCGCTTCTCTGCTGTGACATGGTCTTCGATCATCTAACGAAAGAAAGATTTATATAATATTTGCTTGGCGGCTTCGGGCCAAAGCTCTTCGAATCGCCAAATAGTTGATTCACGTTTTTCATATTTTCCATAGCATATTTTACATTCTAATATAGAAATTAAAAAAAATTAGTATTTACTTTTTTTTATTGACAAGCACACATCATTAGACGATCCCCCATCAATATTAAAATCATTTAAACATAAATCTAAATTACAAGTATTAAAAAAAAAAATTATACTATACCGGAATTGAAAAAGTTCGAATATTAAAAAAAAGCTCGAGAAGGTCAGTGTGGGTATTTTCACTCAACTTTGAATCAAGTTTTTACATGAGATGAAAACATAATACCAGATTTAAATAATATAAATATGTTAAACATGTTCAGCTCAATACGTCAAATTAAAAAAAAAAATTTTATGTTAAATTAGATCGTTAATATTAATTATTGAGCGAATATAGCAGACACTAGCGAAAGTATTCACATTGACCTTAAGTGAAATTTCGGGTACGCGAATTTTTCTGAATCTGCTTTGTTAGTAAAACTTCCATGGGTATCGAGGAATTGAGCCGTAAAAAACTAGTGAACGAGCGAAGGCGATCATTTTAGGATTAAATTCAGGGATCGATTCATTACGTTTAAGGCAAGGGTGCCGAGTGACTTTGATTGTTTTCGCCTGTGACTTCATTGCACGCGATGCCAAGAATTGACCGTTAGAAATCCGAAAATACGTATATATTCATAAGCAAATGAAAAAATCTTAAAGTATGCACAATTTAGTCACACGCAATATATACAAGTTAATAAGTGAAAGTAGCTCAATTGAAATATTTTTATACGGTAGCGTTCGTGCTCTCTCTTTCTCTCGCTCGCGACCTGACAAATTTAATGTCCCCTTTGTGTACATAATAGCTCGCGCTTGTATATCCCTAATAGCTTTGTCCGCGTGTTTTACTCTCTTCTCTGATGAAAAATTCGAGTATATAATCAAAAGTTCACTTACGAGGAGAGCCACAGGTCTCCACCAAACATTTTTGAGTGACCCTTTTTAGAGTTTCAATAGTATGTATTAGCTTATCACGGTATCAGGCTTCAAATGGTCGTGTGGTCGACGAAAAAAAAAATCGAAACTCATTTTTTAGATTTATTTATTTAATTAATATAAAAAATTTACAACATTGACTAACAAAATTCCATTGTCATAATTATTTTTTGCCTGCAGGCGCTAGGTAAATGCCCGATTTTCGAAGTTCTCTCGTGACAGATACTCGAAATTGAGCTTTTGAACCACGAATAATACTCAAATTTTTAAGATCGACATTCGTCACGATCCACGTATCTATAAATGTAGGCTCGCAATGCAGCAGCAGCAATATAGAGCCTCGTTATTGTCTCCATCGATCGTTCGGTTAATTATCATCATATTCCTTAAATCGACCGTCTACGCGTGTATGTGGGGCCGATCAAAATACATGACGTAACGCGAAGAAGATACACGCAACGTCTGCACACAATGCGCCACGGGCACTGCGCCACGTATATGACATATGCGCAAATATGCGCCGGGCATTGATTGTCGTCGTCGGGGATCGATCGTCGCGGCGATTATTAACGCTCGATCACTTCGTCAACTATTCCAGGAACGCCATTTCTATATTTGTTATATTGTATAGCTTCTGTGTCGTCGGATGCTCCGCTACAAAAGCTTCGCAAATCGAGAATATATCCTTGAGCGACTCTCAACGGCGCGCATAATATTACCGCGGTGTATGACACTAATTTTGCGCGATTATTTATCGCTTCGTGCGTTATTAACTGCTGCTGCTGTTGCTGCTACAGCTGTCATCGTTGAAATCAATTTGGCCGGATCGAATCGGGGTCCCCTGAGAAAGCTCGAAGCACCGTTGGGCGTGCAACAACGCGAGTAACACGAGCCTCGTACGAGAGAAAAAAAAATAATTATAATCATCGTCGCCGCCGCCGTCGTCGATCGTCAACCCGCAAATAGCAGAGTAGAGGGACGACGTCGAAACTCAATATACACGCATAAAATATAATCGGCACGGAGAGGCCGCGGCGCAAAAACGAGCCATTGTGTTATTCAAATGAGCTCGAACGCGCGCACACTCGATCACACGAGCCTTTCACGCGCGCGATTCGAGAGAATAATTGAAAATCGTTCCTGGTCCTCTGCTGTACTCGACGTTACGGGTGTACTGGAACGGGGGGCAAGTTTTTTTTTCTAAATAAAGCTCTTCACTCGTGTTGGTAATGAGGGAAGCGATCAAGTGTATATTTTCAATAGAAAGCGACAGCAGCGGGTGATTACGAGTTTTTATAACAAAACAAAAAGAAGTTCAAGGGCGTGCGAGCATTCTATTATTCGGATATCACACGACTAGAATCCAACTCATCGGATGATTATTTTTTTAGTCTTCGTATTTTTTCATTTCTGCGTGGATAACGTTGGTCTCGAGGAGGTATATCGCGTGGTAATAAGTACACAATTTCAAATGTTTTACTTCATTTATTTAATCGACGTGGAAAATTTATCGACATCACGAACTCGGTCCGGCCGCGGCCAAGCAAATGCTGCATAAATCCTTGACTCCCAGCTGATCCAGGACCATTTCACAAATCTCAAGCGGCAGCCTCTTGCGAATCAACTCCCAGAAAGGATCCAGTGACCAGCGCCGGAAAAATCGCCGCGTTATCAGCTCGCACAGATGCGCGACGCAAGCGACGTGACTGATATTAATCAGACGGGAGTGGAACAACTTTCCCGAGCGCGCGAACTCGAAGTAGTCCTCGTATCCGACTCGTTTTTCCGCCTCCTCGGCCGGCAACTGTATCAAGTCGTTGAGCGACAGACTCGGAACGATCGTTATCTTCTTGGCTTCGCTGGCGAACTCGTCGTCGTAGCGATATTCGTCGAGATCCGATTTCCCGAAAAATTCGTAGGTCGCGTTGTAGTCCGCCAACGTCTCGAGCATATCGTAACGGGCAAAATGTCTCATGATCGTCAGAGCTCCGCTACGGTCGAGCTCGTATCCTCTTTGCTCGAGAAGTTGGACGATGATCAGAGCGGCCGACGTCTGTCTCAGCTTGAAGTGGTCGCACGTCTCGTTCGGACATCGCGGCCAATCCATGACGAAATAACTCTCGGTGGGAAAAACAAAGTCGGACAGATCGGCGCCACGATCCAAGAGAAAACGGAGCGTCGATCGCCACCCGCTGCCCGAGCTCGGCGTTCACGTCGAAGAACAGCTCCGCCAATTTATCGGCCCAGAATATCGCGGCGATGACGTGCAGCGGAGTCAAACCTTCGGCGTCGACCGAGTTCGGATCCGCGCCCCTTCTCAGCAGCAACTCGGCCGTGTCCCGGTAGTTTCTTGCCAGAGCCATGTGCAGCGCCGTGCGGCCCTCGCGGTTCCGGGCGTCGACCAGCACCTCTCGACCCCTCTCGTCGCAAATCTCGAAGAGCAGCTCCGCCAAGCCATCGCGATCGTTCGTAAGGCAAATCGAGTGCAGAGCGGTATAGCCGTAATGGTTCGGTAGATTCGGATCAGCGCCTCGTCTCAGCAACAATTTGACGACTTTTTTTCTGCTGCGCCACAGAGCCAAGTGCAGCGCCGAGTCGCCGGTTTTCGATACGAGACCATTGGGATCCTGGCCGAGCTCGAGGAATTTCCGCGCGACTTTGACGCAGCCGAACAGGCAGGCCGCGTGAAAATGCGTCATGTTGGTCTTCTCGTCCACGTAGTTCACGTCTGAGTATATTTGAAAAAGCGCACCGGCCATGGTTTCGCAATGGCTGAACCAGCTTCTGGCCGCATGATGTATCGGCGTGGTGCGACGCGTCGACGTCTTGCCGTCTTTATCAACTTTGGGCTCGTCTCTGTAGCCGCTGCGAGCCACGAACTTGGCGATCAGTTCGCCTTGACGAATATACCTCTCGTTTTTGTTGTATATCAAGTTTACGGAATCCGTAAGAAGACATTCGATTTCTTCGGCTCGAAAGATGTTTCGGAGATTTGGAAGTCGACCCTTCCATCGTCTGACAATGGGATAAAGTTGACGGAGAAGTTCGTGTCTGTCATATTCGATCTCCCAATTGACCTGTTCACGCAGACTCTTTAATTTGTCGAAATAGTTTTCATTATCTTGTGCCATCGTTTAAAATTGCACTCGCGCACACACTTAAGCTTAAAATTGGAAATATTTTTTACTTTTTCACTTGATGCAGTCGATGCGATATTTCCTTAGATGCTCACGCTGCGGCGTCGTAACCTATACTGAACTATATTTACATGCACTATGATATACAGATAGAATAAAAAACACACGGGCGAAGCTATAAGAGATTCAAGTGTGAGCTAACTATATCTATGGTAAGAGACGTTAAACTCGGTCAAGATTAGAAAGTGAAAGTGAAAGTGACCGTAGTATAGACTGAAAAAAATCTCAGAAGCAAGTCCAACAAAAGTGGACCGCTGAATCAGAACATTTTTTTTCAGTGTAGGGGCCACACTTGTATGCAAAATTCGCGGCAATAAAGATAATAGCACATAAGCCAAAGCACTGCTTCTATTTAGCTGAATATATAGTCTAGCCACTGAGGGGGTTTCTCGTATATGCATTGGAAAGTTCCACAAAAAACGAAGTGTATTTCTGCGCATTTTTGCCCGCTTATCCCGAATTTTCAACTCTCACCAGGCTCAAAGGGTCGATTAATTTTTTATAAACAATTTAATTGTTTATATGGCTATATAACTCCTAAACTAATGAATATTTACCAAAACAATTTTTTTTCATTTTATTGCACACAAAAAGACCAAAATTCATTTTTTATCTTTAAAATTTGAAAAACAACAACTCAGTCATTTACTGGTGCGGTTACCCTATTCTATTTTTCGGCCCATATTAGGTATATACGAAAGTATTTTCCTAATCTCTGCGTAAGACAAGGATGACCGCTCCCAACTTTTGTTCAATATTGACATTTGATTTTTTACTTGAAAAAAGTGATTAATGATCTTTTTTTTATGGAAAGACACGTATAATTGTAAGAATTACTCAAATCAATCACATTTCATCTGGTACACTTAATTGAAACTAAAAAACAGTATAAATTCTTCAAGTGTCCAGGTTTTCAGCAGTGTCCAGCTTTCGGCAACGTGTGACATTTTTTACGATTTTTGGTAAATTATATTGAAATAAAATTAAAACGCAAAATAATTTCAATTGGAAAAGTTGAAGAATTCAATTTTTTATTTAATAAATAATATTTGAGGAATTCGGAATTGAGATCGAAATTTAATTTATCATTAAATTAATGTCTCGATTATTGGAAAATAGTTTCATTCCCATTGCTGCCGAAATGTGTTAATGATTACTTTGCAAAGATGCAAAGCGCAAGTTTCTTCATATTCTTTGAGACGATCCCATTTTTCCATAGAGTGTGCAAATTTGAAATATGGGGCGTAAGAAAAAATGTTTATGGTTTCATTATATCTAAATTCGACCAGGTCGTATAGCGACAAAATATGTTGTGGTATGAGTGTCCGTTTCGCCATTTCTTTAAAGTCATCGTTATCATACCAAAAATTATTCAGACCCGCCGTCTTCTTGAACAATTTATGTTCATTAAATAGATTTATAATAATCTGAGCGTCATTTTGGAAAAAGTTCCCATTGTTTTTCAGACGTTCTGCAACGTCTAGAGCACCAGATGCTAAAACCAGGAGGAATCGAGGTTCCGTGAATCTGAAACTTTGTGTGGCAAGTGTAAAGTCATTCAGAGAGGGGAAAATGAATTTTGTTGTGTCAGCACCATGATCCAAGAGTACGTCGACCGTATCTGGCATAAGATGCGCCACGGCGCATTGGAGTGGTGTTCGTCCCAACTTGTCCTTCGCGTCAATTTGCACCGTCTGCCGGATGTCGTCGTTGATCTTGAAAAACGTCTCCACTAAGTCCTCGTTGTCGACGTTCCTCTTGCAAATAATATGCAGAGGTGTCGATCCATCCTCGTTGCACACATTCGGATCGGCGCCGTTTCTCAGTAGTACTTCGGCCAACTCCTTGTGTGCGTTCATGAGAGCCAAATGTAGTGGTGTATTACCCAACTTGTCCTGGGCGTTGACACGAGGGGACGAATTACCGATGAAAAAAAGTCGAACTGTATCGTCATCTGTGTCCTTCTGGCACATAATATGCAATACGTTTTTCTCTTCTACATTGACTATATTTGGATCCGCGCCTCTTCTAAGTAGTAAAGCCGCTGCTTTTCTAAAATCGAATTGAACTGCATATTGAATAGGTGTCCAACCTTGGTCGTCCTGGGCGTTGACCTGCACCGTTTGACGAGTTTCGTCGCAGATGCCGAAGAACAACTTTGCTAATTTAAAGCTGCCTTTTTCGATTAAACGGTGCAGCGGAGTCGATCCCTCCTCGTCGGCCGAATTCACATCGGCGCCGCTTCTCAACAGCAACTCGATCACTTGTTTTTGGTTCCACTTGAGAGCTAAATGTAGCGTCGACTCGCGCCTCGTTCGCCAAGGACAATTGGGATCCTGGCCGAGCTCGAGGAATTTTTCGACGACGTCTGCGAAACCGAATTGACAGGCGACGTGGAAGTGCGTCAGGCCCGTCTCCTCGTCCACGTAATTTACGCACAAATTTGTATAAATTTTAAAAAGATCGCGGACGAAATCGCGATCCCTGCGTCTCGTGGCTCGATGTACTGGCGTGGTGCGGAACACCAACGGTTCGCCGGCTTCATTGAACTTGGGCCGATCCTTGTAGCCACTGCGTAATAGCCACGTAATAAATGTGTTTGTCTTGAATTTTCTTGTCGATTGCGATAAGTACCATACGACATTGTCGTCAGTACAGATGTCTTGGACATTTGGAATTTCGCCCTTCCAATTTTTTACTGTCCGATATAATTGATTCAAAAATTTGAATTTATTTTCTTCGGTATCCTCCTTGACTTTGGCTCGCAATTTGCTTAGCGTGTAGATATTCATTTTTAAATTTTGAATAACACAGCAACTACACGACACAAGTGATTGTTGACTGATGTATAATAGACAACGACTCATTCAGTATAAGTAAACATCTCGCCGAACCTCGCAAGACAACATATCAACAAAAACATAACGCATCAATTTTGTGAAAGTTTTTACGCGTTCGACGATTGAAATCGGTACAATGCCTTGGCAATGAAACGACTCGTTACTGCATGACGGGATCGCGCAAGCATTTTTACAAGTGCAGCAACCATCGCGCACGCGAGTCGCGTCCGTGACTGCCGCAGAGAGCTCGTGGACGTGTGCTTTTTTTCTTTTTTTTCCCCTCATTTTTCTTTCAACCTGCGAGCATCGATGCACAATCGATGCACAATCGACTGAATCTCTCGCTCGTACGTGGCGTACACAGGTGCACAACACTCGATCGCTATCATTTTGGTATGTATACATCGTCGCGTCGCTCCCCTGATATTATTATACGCGGGAAAATAAGCCTGTGTGCGAACACGATGTATTATTTGCGAGTCGCACCGCTCGGCGGCGATCGACTCGGTCCCGGCTATCGTCGCAAGCGCCGGAATCGGCCGCTCCGTAAGGATATATACCGATTTCGCGACACTGCCTCGCGGATATGTCCGGCAGTCTCTTGGATACACACGATCTACTATTTCTCTCTTGCTACTCTTGCAATAACCTCTCTCTTACACGACATGCCACAGAGACGATATCACGACATATCCAAAACATTTTTTGCCTCGACAAAAAGTGTAATTTTTTTTCATCGGCTGCAGCCCTTGGTTGAAATATGCGATCGAGTGGAAGTATGCGACTCGATTACTCGATAAAATTTTCAAGCGTCTCCTTATGCTTATTCGTCGAATTTTTGCTTCGATAAGCTCACTTCCGTCGCGAAGATTCGTATTGCCGTCCGCAGCGTCAGTTCCAGTAATGAAGGCTCGTAAAAAAACGAATAAATAAATAAATCGTGTAACGAAAGTCGATCGAGCCACGAGCGCACACACGCTTACGGCTCTCGATTACGCTAATTACTTCTCGCTATACGGAAGACAATATAAAGGGTCTCTTTACACGTATAAAAAGCTTCGAGCTATATACGTTTTCACGGCTTATAATTGTTGAGTCTTCTTCATCTTTTTTTTATACATCGTCGACAGCTACAATCGAAATTGCCGCCAAGTTCGAGTTCATTCTTATACATACGCACACGAGATCATATCTGTCCTCCTGATATAAATATCAACGTTATTAATTATAATAACTCGATACGCCGATGCAGAGAGCCTCGATCGGGTATCTATGATCGCAGCGGCAGTGGCAGCTGCAGCACGTGACACCGTAAGGATCTCGAGTATAGGAACGCATGATCGAGAGACCATGCATATACTACACGAGCGAGGGAAATCTAGAAGGCTAGATTGTGGATGAAACTCGATCGCGGAAAAAAGACTCGGTATTATTGTACAGCTTTGCTTGCGCCGTCTGCTGCTATTTATAATTAGCCGAGTAGCGAGATATGTATATGCAGATATTCCCGCTTTATTTTCTATGAGGACAGATGTAGACCGAAACTTTTCCGAGACAGTTGCGAGGCGAGAAAAGTTCGCGAACTTACTTAATTTGGCGACTGGGACGAACTCAATTATGCATGTGGCTTTTCGTTCGCTCGCTTACATTATTTTTAATATCGAGTTCGCACCCAGAGTTGCGCAGCCGGTGACTACCAATTTGGTACGGATTATCATCGACAGGTGGCGTCGGCCCACTCGAGGAGTCGTACGTGCGACAATATTTGCCCACATATGGCTACATATGATGGTTGTCTTATACTCTTATTCTTATATCAATTTCAATCGATGATTCGATCGTTTCATTTATAATTTTCCAATGTATTATATTTTTGTTTTTATATTTACATCTAAGAGTGATGTTCTTTTACAATTTTTTTTCTTGAAAAACCAACTTATTTAGCGATAAAAGATACATTTATCACAGTATCGTAATGACATTTGTACAGTGATTTATAGAAATATGATCTTATAAACAATTATATAAGATGACCGTTTCTTTTACATTTTGAAATAAAAACAATTCTGCATTCGTACAATCAAAATGAGTAGAACCGTAGAATTATATCTAATTTTCTCGTCGTTCATCATTCATTAGACGTGAGTTACGTACTGCAATTGTTTCAATGATATAATTACAATGACCTATTTTTATTTCGTTCGCAGCCCTGCTCGTGGTGTATATTTCATGCACGGCGAAATTTCGACTGTTACTTGGGCTCAGCAGAGGTTATGCATTCCAAGCCCGACGTGAACAACGGAACGAGCACAGCTCTCAGTGCTCTTCGCCGGTTTTCTTGTGTAGTTAGCTCGATCTTCGCGTCGCGGGAAGGTTAACTATTGAAGAAGTGGAAAGGATGGAATCCATTGGTTTATTGAACAGTCCTGACAGGTAATTTTTATCTATTGAGAATGAAACGATAAAAATGTAACAAAATATTCGATCTTATTGGGGTTATTTCAGAGTGAAAGAGAAGCCTAGTGATGTGCCCATTGAGAATGATGGTGAAATCATTGACGAAAGCAGCGATCTCAAAAACGTCCGACTCTTACCAGTTTTGGAAGAAAATCCAGTAAGAATTTATGAATAAATGTTAAACGTATTCTAGTTGTTTTTTTAGTAAAAATTATCACATTTCTTTGATTTTTCAACAGAACCAAACGCTTCGAGGACGTGACATTAAACTTGAAAGTGATGTCAATGACGTTACAGAAATAGTTGTTGAATGCGAAGACGTCAAGCCCGAAATTAATTCATTGAAAGTTGAAAAAGTTGACGATGAGACCGCACGAGAAGTGAAACAGGAATTTTCCCATGAAGTTACAGAAGATTCGAATTTGAATTTCGACTGTGAACTTAACAAACATAATAAAACAAGAGGAATGGCTAAAAAGTTTGACAACGAACGTAACCTCAAAACGCACATCGGTACAGTGCACCAGTGTACAATCCACGTATGTAAAATATGCAGTAAGAATTTCTCAAGTAAGGGCAGTCTGCGTAGGCATGACGAATCGATGCATCAATGTATCACCCACTCATGTGATATCTGCAGCAAGACATTTTCACTATAGAGTAGTCTCAAAGTTCACATAGATTCGGTGCACAATGGTATCAAATATACGTGTAATGTACGTGAAAAGACATTCACACGGATGCGTGGTCTCAAAACCCACATCGATGCGTCGCACAGCGATACCACTCATGCATATGATATATGCCAAAAGACATACTAAACCAAGAAAAATCTCCAATATCACATCTGTAGGACGCACAATTATATTAGAAGTATTTGTCATATTTGCGGAAAATCATTTTCACAAAAGAGTTATCTCCAAACCCACATCGATTCGATGCACAAAGGTATCATGCATCCATGCGATACATGCGGGAAGAAATTTACGCAGAAGGGTTATCTTGAAATTCATATGAATTCTATTCATAAAAAATAACTCATACATCCATTACATAAAGGCCGTATGAAGGTATCACAGATGCACGTGGCGCATGCCTAAAGGACATTTACAAGACAGGAGCGTCTTCAAAACCATGATTCGGTGAACCACTCACGTATTATAACTCAAGAAACGTATAAAATCGATGGTACTATTTCAGAATACTAATTTAAAAATCTATAATAAGTTGCTCCAATTTTGTCTCGTTATGTAAAACCAATGCTTGAATTTAAAATAAAATCAATACATTTTTGGTGGAAAATAAAAAACAAAATTAATTTTAAGGTTTATAAAATTTGATGTCAATTTTTTATCTCTTGCGATTCAAGACAGAAGTAACTCAACCGATCGGAAGCCGTTTGAAGCTTCATTTTTCATTGCATAACTATTTTATAAGTAAAAAAAATGAAAAAAAAAATAAATAAAGTACGTAAATAACAATGTATAGAAAAAATTGGCCCTAAATTTTCACAAATATCATCGATTTTTTCTCTTGCGTGTGTAAACGAGGCTCATCCCAGCAAGTCTAACAGACGCGTCTAAAAGAGAGAGAAAAAAAGAATGGAAAATCAGTCGTGCTAGAAAATGGAAATGGGTAAAGAAACGACATTACATATGCCATGCGGCAGTCGAAATCGCTCAGCGCACGTAGTACATATGGTTTTGAAAATTCTCACACGCGCGACGCCGCAGCCCGGAAAACTTTTGTTCGCATATATGATGTTCGCGTGGAATCGATCGCGACACATGCCGCCACTGCTGCTGCTGCGCGTCGTCGTAATATTCTCTCTCGGAGTAAAAGCCGAAAAAGTTTAAAAGAAGTCGCGCGCGACAAAAGCTCTCTCACTCTTCCCGTCCCGCCGAATTATCGGTTTGCTGGCTCCTGCCGCGTGAAAGCTCCGAATATCGCTGCTGCCACATGCACTCACGTACAAGTAGCAGTGGTGGTGATGGTTAGGAGAAGAAGAAGCAGAGAAAGAAGAGAAGCGAAAAAAAAACGGGGAGGAAGAGACGAGAAATCGACTGCGGCAAACAAATAGGAGTAGAGCATAGGCAGCCATATAAAGCATCGTCTCTCTTTCTCTTTCTCTCTGTGACTGTGTGTATATTATGTGCAGTCGGTCTCTCTTTTTTCATGCGTACACGAGTAGATAGATAGACAGAGAGAGAGAGAGAACCCGAGGAAGCTGAAGTAACTATACTGGGAAGCTTTTTCAGCTCACGTGCGTACGTAGTCGAGCGCACATATGCGATGCACGACGACGCGCGTCGTTGAACTTGAAAATCTCTCGCTCGTATACGCGCGTATACACACACGCGGCTTATTTCGCTCGCGTGAATTTACACCTTACCACTATACCTGGTGACCGATCGGAGACTGATCCGATAAATATACACAATGGCAGGTGCGCGTGGTGTAATCGCCCGCGTGCACTTGTTGCGACGAGAAGGAAAAAAATCGCTCCGCGTGGATTAATCAGTTTGAGTTGTAATGTATAGCTGGACTGTAATGTGTCGCGCGCTAAATTATGCTAATTAAGCGTGATACGTAATAAGTGTGTGGTCATTAAACATACAGGAGCTTTATAGTCGATAGGTCATTAACGATTCGTATTATTATATACGCGTATTATCGCGTATTTTCTGAGTACATTTATTGTATTTTTACGTATGAATAATTTTTATTTCTTTCGATTTAACATTTGACATCTCTTATTTTAAATGATCTTGTGCTTAGCAATGAAGAAACCGAAATCAATTTTTTTAAATTCATTTGTCCGAATGATATGGAAAATATATGCGACATCATATGCGGAGCCAGAGACTGATTTTTCATTGATGTTCACGCAGCGGCGCTATGTCTAGCGTACTGACTAAATATTTGTACACTGCAATTTATCTTTAAACATTTAAAAGTAGAGAAGCGAAAGTGGCTAGAACTATAACAGAAAAAAAAGAGCAGTCAAATTTTGGTAAAGAACAAAAATCAAAATTCAACTGTCCACTCGCGCGACTGTAAGATATACGCATCAATAATATGCACTAACCGTATAGATAAAAGTGTCCCATCTATAATCGACGAATTCTCGAGTTAGCACACTTTCTGTTTTTGACTATCGTGGCATGAAAACGTTGTGTTTTTACGATCAATTTTCCTGGGTATATGATCGGAAAAAAATTTTCAATTTTGTTGTCGTCTTTGAACTCGATAAAAGTGCGATTTGTCCTTTCCGTAAAAATCTATCGCGTTTGCACTAAGAAAATGACCACATTACACGATTATTTTATTATTATTATTTTTTTCATCAATTAAATCGTGCATAATATGTGAATTAAATATTTTTTCATAATGAAAGTATTTTAGTTGTTTTCGAGTATTTGTACTGTTTCAATTGTGCGGTGGTACAGGCATCCCTTGTTATACGCGGAATTCGTTATCCGCGGTTAGTCCATTTGTGCCCGTCCCTTCGTATCCGCAGGTCAAGTCTTGTTATCCGCGAATCAATGATCGTACTTTTTTTCTCGAACGTATCTATACTCAGTTTGAATTTTATCAATGTAGACGCGCCAATCGAAATTGTCAATTAACCTAAATTTGTTGAAAATTTCTAAATTTAATAAGTATGGCTCCTTCTAAAACTCCATCAAAAACACCACTGCAAGGCGCTTCGACGTTAATGAATCTACCATACGATCAACGATCAGACTGATAATGCACCTGAACCGATTTTTGATTCAAAACTAATTGTCGAAGTTATGGATCATAACAATTTTTATATCAATATCGCCTCATAGTCCAATTACACACCTTGTTGCATACAATAATAAATCATAATTTATGATTTTTCAGCAAAGGGAGAACATCTAAACGTGTCATAAAACATTCATTCTTGGCGAGGGGTGTTCTTTCGCCTAAATCTATGCAGCACAAATCAATCGATCCTAAACAAGATGAGAAAGCAACAAAATTTATTTCGGATTTATCTTCCCAAGACGATCAGAGAGAGAGACGAGGCAAAGAGAGATGATATTTATGTTTCAATTCTTGCACTGAAATAATTGAAATTTTGAGATTAAAGTTAGATAATGTAATTTTTAGTTTATCTGAAGGTGAATCGGAAATTGAGAGGTCAAAACATGGAAAAAAATCAAAATTGGTCGAAACGAAAAATCAATGGTTATGTTCGAAACTGCCGAATCGTAAGAAATTATTTAATTAAAAAATATTACATATTTACGTTACACGACAGTACATATTATTTTTTACATAGTTACCGAAAAATAGTCATCGAAGTTTCTTAGAATGTTGCCAATTTTAAGAAACCGATCATCGAACCCTCGCGCTTCTTATTCGCATACTGAAAAATCTGACTGAAGCGCAAAGGTAAATTCTTGTAAAGATAATTTTCAATTACAGTAATTTATTTTATTATTAATAGTTGACGCGATTATATAGTTGACGCGATATTCTTTTGTCGACGACATGAACTGGACGTAACGACAAATGTACATTGCACATTGATGTAACGAAGTTCATGTCATTGCCATAAAAATATCAAGACACCAACATTTCTCAGTGTAAAATTTAATTTGACTTCGTCTTTAAAAATGGTAGTGTAAAATAGATGATAATAGGTCCACGCCCACGACGCGCTTACGTACGATTTTTACATTCGTTCATTTCAGATGGCCGAATTGATTCATGGTTCAAATATTTAGCTCGATGAATTGAAATGAACAGCGTATACCAGATGTACCACAGGAAGCCACGGGAATTAGCAAGACGAGCCATAAAAACGATCATTCCCGAAGAGGTGCTCCGTGAGAGCTCACCGACAGGGAAAAATGAGAGAACGCCCATCCCCGAAAACATTTACTTTTCTGTACTACGTAAGTAACCTCCATTTCGAACTTTCGACTGCATCTGAGAAATCCGCGAGATTGTTATGGAGGCAAAAAAATAAAGCGGGATAATCGTGAAGATGACAGCGACGAGCCAGCTGAAAAAAGATTTATAATTTAACTTTTGATTTTCGCCACTTTTTTGTTCGCATTGTTGCTTTTTACATACAAGAAGCTATGGATTTAATTTATTGATAGAATTAAGATATTTAATTTTAAAAAATATATTTGCGCTAATTTCGCCGTAATGTCGCCGTAATTGTGCCGTATTATCGCCATCATTTCGCCATCATTTCCGCAAAATTTTGGATCAATTTTTCAAAAAATGTCGAGTAGTTTGAGAGAAAAATGAACGAAACTACCAAAACATGGAGTCGTAGTTTGGGACAGTCCCCTGCGCCAAGATTTTGGCAGGTTTCGCCCAAAGACCAAGTTCGGCATTGCTTGGGCGAAGCTTTTCGATTTTTACGCGGGGGCTCGGTGTAATCGCAACTCGCACAAATGACAATGTAATTCAATTAGAAAAATAAATAAAAATATGGTTTTTATGCGTTTTTTTTCAGCTTTCACGTGGTGAAGTCGGATTTTTCGATAATTTACACGTTCACTAGGAAAAATAGGAAATAAACGTTTAAGTCCATTTTTCCGTACGAAAATGAAAATTATCGAAAAGTCCCCAGTCGCGGGACAGTTAGTAGCGGCGTGGCGGAATATTGATGTTTTGAGCCTCTATAGACATGAATGAATAACTAGAATGGATCATTTATGTCTTAATCAATAATTTAAAACCACTTATATTAACTTTTGAGCAGTAGTTTATGAGAAATTAGAATAAAAGGATAACCTCTTCGTGAGCATATAACTGGACATGCAAAATGCGACTTGTGCCTCTGTCTCGAATTTATAACCCCAGTAGCTGGACAGCATAGATCGAGACGCGCTCTGGACTTGTCACATTACACGAGTCCGCACTCCGCGCATATATAGGTAATAGGTTAGGCCTGTGTCCCGGCACCGACCAAGAGTCAATTTTTCCATGCCGAAAAATGGACACTGACAATTTGAAAAAGTAATAATTTCTACTCTTTTTTTTAATTTTTATTGAATTAAGAATTGTTTATAGTTTCTAAAAACTTTACTTCGAATTAAACAAATGAATATCAAGTGAGTAATAGTCTAAAGACTTAAGTGCTAAT